CCTGGAGCCCAGATGCAAGCAAAACCTCTGAACCACAGGAAACCTGACATGGTCATGACCAGCCCTGAGTCCAGGGCTCTCTCCCGTGTAGCCGAATTCTATCATGCGGCTGTACAGTGTCCGCCAACTACGAATCCAAAACTAGGGTTCAAGGCTGCCCGCATACAGTCTTTCTTCTTATCTCGAGCACGAAATCTATGGCAAGAAACCTCACGGGGGCATTAGCACACGCTCACATTCAAGCTGGAGGAGTAAGATGTCACCTCTCTTTACAACAAAAGCTCGTCTTCAGTCGTGCAAAGTAGACCCTCGGCCATGTTCGCTGGAAATCCCCAGACTCCGGCGGCCTTCATGCGGGGCAGGTCCATGTCTGTGCTGCTCTTGCCTGCAGGGGGCAACCAACCCAAAGCACATCCATCGTTTCAGGATTTCGCTGGACAATATGCACTCAACACAGAAATTCCACCCAACGCCAAGCTTTCAGGCTGTGAAGTTTTTTTGGGCGGAAGGGGGAGACGAAGTTGTTCCGGATACTTCGGCCAGAACGTGCGGCTCCTATCGATGCTACGTCTTACGTACACACATTCTTTGCGAAGTAAGCTTTCACTTCAAGCCAGTGGTCCTTAAGAGTACAGACCTGGTTTGTTTTGGATGCAGTCAAGCGCGTATGCAGCAATCTCCCAGGAACGTGGTGCTGACTATGTCGCTCTTCCAGCTATTGGTGGATGCCTCGTCTGTGTTGGGCTGCCATTTTCTGACACTTTGACCTGACCCTAAACTTCCTGAACATCCTGAACATCCTGAACCCTCTCTGCAGCAAAAGGTGCCCATGTAGCGTCCCTCCGCCTCACGGGGACTTCGGGGACTTGGAACTTGAGGCTGCAAAAACATGAGGTGGTTCTGAGGCTCGAAGGCTCCAGGAAATCTTGAGTCTTGTGCTTTCAGGCTTCTGGGCTTCTGGGCTTCTGGGCTGAGGTGGCTGCAAGCCTCAGTCGCCTCACACCTCAAGTCCCAGACTCTTCGACGAGCAGAGAGGCCTCTGCCGCTGAACGACGAAAACCCTAAACCCTAAACCCTAAACCCCAAACCCTAAACCCTAAACCCTAAACCCTAAACCCTAAACCCTAAACCAAGCCTGTGCCTCTAGAAGGGGCATCCGAAGTGTGGGCCCTTAACTTGGGTCCCCTGTTCTAGAACCCTGATATCCACTATGCAGCAAAAGGGCCCCATACTTCGGATCCCCATAACCAAGGGGTAAGGGAGCATACTAAGGGCCCATCCTTAAACCCTAAACCCTGAACCATGATCAACCCTAAACCCTAAACCCTAAACCCTAAACCCTAAACCACGGGCCCATGGCTCCAACCTTAGAGAAGGGGGCCAACTGGCCTCGGCGATGGATGCCAGGAGCTCCGCATGTGGCTGCTCCCGTGCGGGCCCTAATGGCTCCTGCGATGAAGGAGCCATGGGAAGTTTAGGGTTTAGGGCTTGGGGTCTGGGGTTTGGAGGGTCTTCTTGTTTTTTTTGCCACCCGTCTAGCCATGCTCCACGTTAGGGCTTAGGCTTGAAGGGTGTGGCTCAGATGGCTTCCTCCAGCTTGGGCTTTAGGCACGCCATGCTATATGGAAATGCGTTGCGTGCAGTTCCTATGCCACTATGCCTTGGTTTGAAAATCGCACACGAAACATAGATGCCTCGGTTATTTTAAAGGTTGGGGGGCTTAAGGCTTTCTTTTCTGGTGCTGACACCCGTATAGCCCGGACTTTGCAACGTACACAAAGAAAGAAGGACCCCGGCAACAGACATCAAGGCCACCGCCATGAATCAAGCATGCCCAGCGCTGCCCGCATCCTGAACGAGGTGCGAGCGAAGCCACGTGCCTGAGGGTTTGAAGCATAAAGCTTGCCAGATTGTCAGGCTAGGGCGGCTAGGGTTCAACAAGGTTCGGAAAAGGTCCGGGCCCGCCCATCTGCTATCTCCGCCCTCCCAAACAAGTCTCCCCTGCTCGCACTTTTTGTCCCGCTCTAGTTCCATGGCCTGACATTCTCCTTGCCTCCCCTCCCAGAACTATCGGAGGCTTGCAAGATCCTGCCGATTGTGCTAGATCGCTCAGAAGCCATGAAAACGCTTCCCCCCCCCCCCCGCCCCGAGGAGAAATCACGCCGTGCTCTTCGATGAAACCCCCCTCTCTCTATCTCCCTCTTCCTCTGCCTCTCCCTCTCCCCCTACTCGCCCCCTCTCCCTCCCTGTCTCCTCCCTCTCCCCCTCCCTCGCTCCCTCCCTCTCTCCCTCCTCTTTCCTCGCACGCAGAACCATCGCGACGGCTACCTTCATAACTCCCCTGTCCACATGTCGTCGGATTGGTACGAGCAGTTACTTGGCCAAGCCACTGGCAGCGCTGGCTGTTGGGGTCGTGCCCATCGAAGCCTCATGGAAGCACACTTAGCGTGGAGGCTGGGATGTTCCCCCGAAAACTAGCAGCCCTTGATCGGGACTCTAACAGGGGGTACTATGCTGCCTATTAAGGCCTGTTAGTATACGGGGGAACATGCCAACATTGAGGGCTTAGGGGTGAAAGTCGGGGCCTCTGGGACCGGACTCTTCTTCTGTTGGATGAGCAAAGGGTTTTTACCTTCAGTCTGAAAGCCAAAAATTCTTTGAGCCTTCCTGCCACGCACCTCCTCCTCCAAGCCTCCAACCCGAAACTTAAAAAATGACAACACCGACCACCGACAAGACCTGCGTTTCAAGCCAGGCTCTGCTCCCTCAAGTAAGCGGGGCACCTAAATGCTAAACCCTTAGCTCTCTTCTCCCCTCCTTAGAAGCTCACAGTGCTGGCTGCTGCCCGTGGCGCCGTGCCGGAGCCCCAGCCGGCCGTGCGCCCTTTGTGGGAGATGCTGAGGCGGAGCCTGTGACTCAGTGACGTCGAGGACTTCAGAGCTGTCTTGGGGTCGCAGTGTAGGGTTTGGGGCTTGTAGGAACTAGGGCGCAAGCCGTGACCCGCCAAGCATCCCTCAAACAAACGGGAGAGCAACCTGAAATAGGAAGGTCTCCCCTGAGCCCTTGTCCCATGATGAAGCTGGAAGCGGCTTCATGCCAGGACTGACTGAACCCAAAACTCAAAACTCGAAGCCCCGAACTCCCAAGCCAAACGAATGTCTGCATCACATCGCATCGGCCACTGGGTTAACGGTTTCGAGCATGTCCAAGCACCCATCCTTCCACGCCACCGCAACGTTTCGAGGGGCGGCTTAACCGTCAACCCTCAACCTGACCCTTTTCCATCCGGGCCTGAACACCTAGAACCCAAATGGGCGTTTCCGAAATTGGGGGTACCTTATTGGGGTCCTTATTATAAGGCGATCCTACTATTTCGGGGTCTATAATGGCGGTCCCTCATTTCGGAAACCCCCACATCCCTGAACCCTCCTCCTGAACAAAAGATAGCAAAAGGGCCCATGGCCTGTTCTTCCTCCTTGTCGCGCCCTCCTCGGCCGCATGCTTTCGGGCGCTGGACTCCTGGCATTGAGGGTCGCTGGTGAAGAGGATGTAGGGTTGGGCGGTTGAGAGGTTTAGGGAGGGGGTCGAGTTGAGGCTTCTTCCGTTGTAAGGGCTCAGGGCGTCACTCTAGGCGCTTCACACCCTGACCAGTCGCCGGACAACCCGAACAAACCCGAAACCCTTTGGCCGCAAGCTCCCCCCACCCTGAAAACGCATGACCCTCCCCCTAGCATTGCCGCTTTGCATCTCCCTTGTAAAAGTATGGGGGGTGGGAGCCGACCTGTGAAGTGTCGCTGCCCAGGTGATGCATTGTTAGGCTCGGCGACTCATCCTCGCCGTCCTGCGACTCAGGGTGAGGGACTTGACTCAGTCAGGTCTTGGTCCCAAGCCCCAACACCCTGCAAACCCTGAACCACCTGAAGCCCAAAATCTGAAGGCTTTCCTTGAGGTTTACCTTATTCATGAGGCCTTTAGGTTGTTGCTTTGTTCATGAGGTCACGTTCGGTTGCTTTACGCAACAGCTTTTGAAGGGAGCTGCGGCTCCGAAGGGTGTAAGACAGCTCCACATGCTGCAAACCGCAGTGTTTCGCAAGGAGTCTATCATGTGGTGCAGCATGTTTCCCTTGAGCTGGCCGGCTTCTGCTATTCTTCACATTTATAGATCAGTATTCGTTTTCGTATGCTGACTCTCTTTCTGTTCTGTTTCTTCCTCCACTGCGCTTTGGGAGCCGACCTACCTCTCTCTCGCTCTCTCTGCCTCACATGTGGGACCGTCAGCTACGAGCCGGCTTGAGGACTTTCGTTCAAGCTCTCACCCTAACTTGCCCCCACAAGAAGGCCTGCGAACTCCGTAGAGTCAGCGACGGGGAGCCGAGACCTGGCAGCCAAGCTCTCCAGCTTAGGGCCTGAGCTTCCTTGTTGAGCTACGATGTTCAATCCAACAAAAGTTGCAGCGCTAATAACAGTAAGCTGGCCCTGCACCTCCCAGCCACTTGGATCTTAAGGTGTGCTCGGACTTGCTCGTGTCCTCGGCTGAAGCAAAGGCAAAGAGGCCAAGCTTGCAACGCCGGAGCATGAAAGCCCTGAACTCCTGAAAAACCATCTTCTCGCACAAGGATATCCACGTTTAACCACGCATGTCTGGTGCAAAACAACAACCCGGCGAGCGGTCGAGCCATGACCGAAACTCGCCTTAACTACGCTTGAGACGGGTGTGCTGCTTGGGGTGTGCTTCGACGGGGGGGGGACAAGTTGGGCTGGGTTGTCTGGGTGCTCTGGGCCCTCGCTGGTACAGGGCAGCAGCAAAGCACCTCCTAATCGAAACCACAGAGAACGCCGTAAATTCCTAAAGGCTTTGAGGAAATGAAATACCGATGTGTCACTGGGATGGCAAACTCTGGACATCGCAGCCGTCGAAAACAATAGTTCCACCGATGCTCTCAGACCACGAGGCAGTCGGCATGTGGATTTGGCGAGTGTTGTATTCGAAGAAGAATATACTAAATCCAGAGCTGCATCCAGCAAAACCATAATCCTCCAATCATCATCATGGTCATAAGGTCACAGCTTCCACACATCGGTTGCTTCCAAGGCGCCAGGGGATACTCGCTGCCCCGCAGGTCGGCGAGGAAGAGTGCAGCGTAGGGCATGGAGGCTTTCTTGTGGAAGCTTCGCCTCTACTTCGGAACTGACCCCAAACCAAGAGCCCATCTACGTCAGGTTCTCGCCTCTACTTCGGATCCTTTCGGCATGTTCGGTTTGGGGAGCCAGTGTGATGCGAGGGTCTGAGTCGATGACGATTAGAGCAGGCCATAATGCCCTAAGTCACACCCAAAGAAATGCCAACACCACTGCGATTCTCTTTGCTTTGTTGATCGCGATGTCGATTGGGATTACCACCTTTTTTTGGGGGAGGGGGGGGGGGTTGAGGGGTCTTACGAAGGTTTTTCTGAAGGGGTCCTGGTTTAAAATGAATGAGGATCGGGTGCTTGACGCACCCCTTCCCCCCCCCCCCAGGGATATGTGCTGCCACCGGCACTTGAGGTCCTTCGCCGCACAAAGCGCCACCTGCCGCTCATTCACAGGGAGGCTTGGCCTTTTTGGCATGGGGGTTCCCAAGAGGCCCATTCCGGGTGAGGCACCTCATTCCCTACGTCCCAAGAAAACTCCTAAGTCCCAGGCATGTGCGGGTGTCCGCATGGTCTACGACGCGGCACAAAACCCTCAGCAGCCTTGAGGGGGCAAGCTTGGGGCCTGAGAATTGCGGCCCTTGGCTCAGCTTTCAGGAGCTTAGGGCTCAGGCCGGGGGCACCATGTTTTGGGGCATCTGGACCAATTGCTGGCGCGCGCGACATGCGCTGCAAACAAAAAGCACTCGCGGCTTGAAATCCACAGCGCGATCACCACATCTCTGGGCACAAGTCGGTGAATGCGCCGGAGGACGTTGAGGGCTTCAGGCCTGATATCCCTGCTCCCTAAACCCTCTAAACCTCCAAAACCTGAACCTCCTAAACCCCTGTTGGATCCTGTTGGGGATTTGCCTAAGGGCCCAGTAAGCCCCCCCCCCCCCCGCTTTTTTCAAAGTCCCCCCCCCCCCCGCCTGTGAGCCCAGGGAGCCCTGGCTTCGGGGCGACAGGGGCCAGCACTTCGGCGGCCTCCCGCGAGCGGGGGGTTTTGGCCACCCGAGGGCTTAGGGCTTAGGGCTTAGGGCTTAGGGCTTAGGGCTTAGGGCTTAGGGCTTAGGGCTTAGGGCTTAGGGCTTAGGGTTTAGGGTTTATGGGTTTAGGGTTTCGGGTTTCGGGTTTCGGGTTGGAGTTTTTGCCACTCTTTTGGGGCTTCGGGTTTAGGGGCTCTTTTTTCCCACCCGCCTAGCTGACTCTTAGGAGCCTTTTCGGGTTTAGGGTTAGGGGTTGCTCTAAAAAGCCTAATTAAGCGGGATTAGCCGACAACGGAATCTACTGGAACCAAGCCCCTAAACCTTCGAACTTTCTTTGTTCACGGGACTGCCAAGAGGACTGAACCCTAAACCTTCAAACGCGCAAGAAACATAAAATCCACGAGCCCCAAACCTTGTGCCAGGCTGGACCCGCGTGCCGGCCACGAACACGTGATCCTAAATCCCGTGAACCCCAAAAAAACAAAACCGACATGAAGAATCCCTTATACCCATATATATATATATATATAAAGGCACGCACCAACATAGCCGTAATAAAAACCAACTTCATATGCCCGCAACCCTGTGCCCTAAACCCCACAAACCCGGAATAAGCCCAACACTTGGGATGCTCCCCTTTCCTGACAATCCGCAATAGGGACCATCATATCCCAATTTACAACCCCCCAAAAGAAGCACACGAGGCCTGTGCAGCTGGCTCAGCTCCTTCAGCGGCGGACGCGACTTCGGCGACTTGGGGCTGGCGAGGAGCGGCCTTTCGTCCAAGGTTGTTCCTAGTATACCAATACAACAATAATCAACAATACATATAACAATCGAAATATATATTTAAAAAAAACAGAATAACAGAAATAATGGAATAGCAGAAGGATGTTATGATGTTATGAGAGTATCATACGATGATTGTTTAACTATAAAGTCCAGTTTCCCTTCTGTTGGTTTGTTGGTTTGCTGTTGCTGGGGAAGGGTGAGTTTGGGGGGTATTAAGGGCTTAGGAGCACAAGGAGGGAGAAGAAGCACTCCTGCGCAGCTCTTGATGTGGGCCGTTACAAGGTGAGCTTCTCTTTGTTTATCGCACTGTCTTTCGCGAGGTCGGTTGTAAGAGGTTCAGGGTTTGGGTCGCAGAACAAAGGTGGGGCACCTGAGGGCTTGCAGGATGTTGAAGGGTGCTTTTGTTTTTCCATCCGCTGCGCTGATCTCAATGGACCACACTGCAGGGACAACTCATCTTGAGGTGCGAAAATCAGCAGAAAGTGAAATCTGATCTCCTGTGCAACACCCCGAACACAACACACCACAGCAGCGCCAAGTATAATGCTTTGAAGATGTTTGAAAGCTTTTTGGGTTTGAGAATGGCTTCCGTTGGGGTTTAAGCGTTTCCACAGCCCGCCCAGCCACCAAGAATGAGAGCCTCATAGCCTTCTCTCAACCTACACAGCGAACCGCACAAGAGCACGTCTCACAAAACGCCCCCAAAGGCTTGGGAAGCTTGGGCACCAGCCTGCTTGAGTTGGAGATGGGGCTATCGCCGATCCAAGCCTCGTGACAGCACAAAGGCAAGAAACAACGCACCGCACCCGGAATCCCCCAAACAACCCCTCCCCAACTGCGCACACGCAACCTACATACTTCTGGACCCGACAACCCAGCTGAAGCTTCGGGCCATCATGATCGTCAAAATTCAACTGGGGTCTAAGTCTCTTCTAGGGCTTAGGGCGAAAAGTACAGATGGTGCACCCCAAGTGCCCCCCGAACTGGAAGCAGCCTGAGGCTGGCTGCCTTTGCTCTTGGACCGGAGGCCATCGCAAACTTTGGGCTTCACCTCTCTGCGGAGCTGCTGTGCTGTAGGAAACACATGATTTCATACTTCTGGGACTGTGGGGAGGCTCTTTTGTTGAGGGGGGGGGGAGTTGTTGCTCCTAAGATTAGGGAGGACCCGGTGCACAATGCCAAAGAATAAGCCATCCGAAAACCGAATCTAATTCCCCAAGACTTCGCCTGGCCGATCAAACTCTGCGACAGAATCTGCTCAGGCAGTTCGGTTTCAGGCCTCGGCCCTGGAATCCTAAACCTTCAGCTACAAATCCCTGAGCTTCCAGGGAATTTCGGGGTCTCAGGGTCCAGGGTTCCATTCAGCAATGCTTTAACAAGGTCATAGGGCCCCAGAGCTGGCACCCACCCTGAAACCTGTAAACCCCAAACCGCAAGGAAAAAACGAAGGGAAGCAAACCGACAGCAGCAACCTCTCATCGCAGCTTTGCCTGTCGAAGCCCATCCTCCTTGCTCTTGGTCCGGCGCGGGTGGCGCGTCTGGGGTGGGCCGGTTTAGGGTCTGTTGGGCTTAGGGTTGAGGATGCAGTTCAGAGCCAAATTTCATGAGGTTTTTCCACTGCTCGGGAAGTTGTATGAACCTTGGCAAGCTGGATATCTGGGTTTCGGTTTTTTCGCCGCCGCCGCCGCCGCCGTCGTCGTCGCCGTCGCCGTCGCCGTCGCCGTCGCCGGCCCTGATCCCCCACGTTCGTGCGGAGTTTTTGCCAGCAATCCCAGAGCCTGCCACAGAGCGTCCTCGAACGGGAACCTACAATCCAAGTTCAACCTGACTAGTGACTCCCCAAGCCCTGAGGCTTTATTCCCAAGGTGTGGTTTTGCTCCATTTTTGCCGCCAATCTAGCCACGCCCTATACGGCGTTGCAGCTTAGGATGAAAATCTAGCCACAGTGGACTACCCAAGCTTACCGGGGGTAGGATCCGTTTTGCGATTTGGGGCTGCGGGTTTCGAGACTCGGCTCGTGCAGCACGGGGTTCTAGGGGCAGGCTTCCAGTTCAGGGTTCCAACGGTTTCTCAGGGGTTTCCTGAAAGCTCGCACCCGTCTAAGCCCAAGCCGGACGAACCCTTATGATGAGGTACTCTCTGGAAACCCAAAAAACTGTGTGCAGACATCAGACAGATGCCCCCCCTTCCCGCCTTCGCCGCATAAGGGGAGTTTTGGTCACTGAGCTGCCTCTTAATGGCACTACCTGAGGCCGGGCATACTGTGGAATTTCTGAAGTCTGTCTCTGTTTTGGGGGCAAAGCAGCAGGGGGGGGGGTTTGCATCCACAAGAATCCAGCATGCTCTTCGCCCTGGGCGCTACCACTTCCCACGACTAGCCAACAAGACCACTTCGTTCAGGCTATGCACCAGTCCCAGCCCTAGCCCTCGCCCTCCCCTCTTTCTGCAAGCCGTGAGGCCATGCGGCTTGGACCGCAACCTGCACAGGACAATCACGCTCAAAGATCCCCAATCCCGAAAAGGCTTCCAGGGCTTGAAGTAGAGCTTCGGGTTCTACGAACTCCTCGTCGCGCAGATGAATTTCAGTGGCTTCGGGGTTTGAGGGCTCCTCCCTGGTTTAGGCTTAGGGGTCGCTTCCCCCCAAACTCAGAAACCTCAAGTCGACGAAGTAGGGAGAACCCCATGGCACCAAAAGCATTGGTCTTTTGTACTCAGGACTCGGAAAGGTTGCGGGTCAAACTCCATGAAAACTTGGGGTTCAGGGCTGGATGCTCTTGCGCGGCCTGCCAGCCGAACTGCTCCGTGCCAGCGCATGCGATGCCTATGAGGCCGGAGGCTGGCTTAAGCTCGGATTCTTGCATCTTGGCCTCCCAATGCCTCCCACATCGGAAGCAAGGCTTCACCTTGCTTCACTGGACTTCAGAGCAGCCCCTTGCCATGCCTCAGATACGTCATGCCGAGACATCCACCCTAAACCGTGTGCCCGCTCATACCCCAGCGCCTGGGATAAACCTCCAGAAGACACCTTGGGCCACCCTCCCTGGACTTTGCCGAACTCTGGAAGCACGGAAAGCAACTCACCAGAATACGGAGCACCAGCCCTTTTAACTCTGGGTTACAACCTCGCAAACCAAAGCGTGAACGTTCATCGGCCTTGGTTTAAACCTGCGCAAAAAGCCCCGGCAACCCCCCCCCCGGCCATCAACGCCGCATCGCCGGCGCGGGGGCCGCGTCGGCGCGGGCCGCGTCTTCGGGCCAAAACGGCCGCGAGGCCGGGGCTTTGGCGAAGTTTCAGGCTTCGGCTTCTTGGGGCTGAGGTCCTGAGCTTGATGTTGCTGGCAGCATCTGGTAGCTGCAGTTGGGGGGCTGATCTTCCACAATCCCTTGCATGCGCATGAAGATAGAAACGCAAAAGGAAACATGACGATGACTTATGGAACCGGAAGTGGGTGCAAGGCCTGCAGGTTGGGTGGTTCATTCGCCTCCTTCTTTCGTGGTGTGGGGGGGCCAGGTAGCTCCTGTGAGATGGATCATTGTCGGGATTGAGAACCGCTTCCAAAAGCAACCTGCCGCACCAGGGCACGCACCACTGGGGTCCTGATGTTAGGGTTTTGGGGTGAAGCTCAGGTTTACAGCTCCCGGCCAACAAGAATCAAATGGAGTACATACCACAACTACGAGGACGAGGTTTGGACCCTGAAACCCAATGCATCCCTAAAGAATTGGCCCTTGAGCTGAGGACTCGGTCGCCAGGACCTGGCCATCCCCAGGTGCTTTGCAGCGTCGGGATTGAAGGTTCAAGTGGCGCAGGGCACAACAACCAAGCTCCGGAGCCCAGCCTGCTTTGCATGGGAGGGCGCGCTCCAGCACGTCCTGGCGGGTTCCGGGCCCAAAACCTTTCAGTGTCGGGCGGTAGGCCTAGAATTTCGGGCGCTTGGCCTTCAAGTAAGTGAGCGCATGGAGAGTTGGTTTCAACTTCCGGGTAGGAACACGTTGACCATCTTCAATCAACAAATAAACAGAAAGAACAATAACTTGGACACCTACAGCAGAATGGAGTCGAGCTGTCCTGGAAGACGTACACAGAGGAGCCATACTGTTGCCTCACAAAAGCGTGTTAGGGACATGGGTTTTTGTCCCACGGTTTCGCGCATCCTCTCAGACTCCCACATCGACGGGCAGTCGACGAAGCCATTCTTCTTGTCCTTAAGCATTGGATCATCGGGCACAAATTCTGGTTGCGGTCTCTAAACAACCCCTCTGTTCCTGTGCCAATTGTAGCTTCCTATATTGGGGACAAGCCCCCCTCCTCCCCACAAACCCTTGTCAGCATGGGCTTCCTCTCAACTGCGGAACTGCATCCCTTCTCAGCTGTTGGGCCGCCCCGCCGGATTGAAACTTCGGACCACGCCGGTGTGGACCCTCGAGGTGTGGCACGGAATGGCTTATGAAAGGCATCCGGTATTGGCACATGCCATCAGCAAGGTGCAGGGCCTCACATGGTTTGGGGACCCGGCTGGCGGACTGTCTAAATGCGAACGTAGCGAGAAACAGTGGTCTCTGAGACAGCGTGTGCGGGTGTGTGTATGTGTATCCTTTGTTGCTCGCAACCCTGAATCATTGGGGCCACCTTTGTATTGAAATATGAAAGTACATTTCATGCACATAACACCCTTTACAATGCCAGAGCTACTACAGAACTACCGCCACTTATCCTCATGACATCTCATGACTGCCAATCATTCATGCTTCCCTCCACCGGGAAACCCGGTGGCCCTGGCTGCCCAAATCCAAGCCAACCCAGACGACCAAACCCACCCTTATCCCGACTTAACCGGAACCCAAAATCCGTCGCATATGTAGATTTCAACCCTTGGATGTTCCGCAATGGCCAGCCGCAAAGGCCCCGTCAGGCAATCCACAGGAAGCGTCACGAATCAAGCCACACCAAGCTGCAGATACAAGAGTCGGATGCTCTGGATGAGATGGGGCATGTATGTGGATATATAAATATATATGTATATATGTATATGTATATATATATATATGCGTTCTCTTGTTTGTATACATAAAATGATAACATGTAATATATATATATATATATATATAGTATGTATATACATATATGCTACCCCCCCCAGCGACCTACCCTTTTTAGGCCTTTTTAGGCCTTTTTAACAAAAAATAACAAAGAAGGCCCAAAAGTCGCGTAGTTAATCACCGGGTAATGAAGGACAGTTACTGGGACACCCACCTCACAGACCCCGATAAGCCAGCATTGGAAGAATCTACATTTTGAATCTGAAGCGGACAATGCTGTTTTTAGATGTTTAGATCAGTGTTTTTCTATGCAAATTGTGCCTTTCAAGGGCAATTAATGTTTTGTTGAGCAACTAATTAATTTATACAATTGTGTTTGTACGAGGCAAAGTATTAATCAAATAGTGAAACATTTTTCTTGGTTCTATGCGAATTTAGCTACTGGAGTTATTATTCAGCAAAGAGCCCAATTTGAAGTGAATACTATTTAAAGGAACATACTCAACCAAGATACGAAATAAACACCATTCTCAACCAAAATATGGCAAAGTGTGCGTTTAAAGTGCAAATACTGTATTTATACAATTGTGGCTGTACTAGGCAAAGTATGCTCTCTGAAAAGTCCACTGAAATACCTTATGTTTACATATTCATGAATCGTTTTTATTTTTGAAATAATCATTTTATGCGAATTTAGCTACTAGAGTAATTATTAAGCAAATAGCCCAATTTGACTCAAGTGAATACCATTTAAAGGACCATACTCAACCAAAATACGAAAGAAGCACCATATTCAACCAAAATATGGCAAAGTGTGGTTTAAAGGGCAAATAGTTCTTTGTTGAGCAACTAATGCATTGAAACAGTTGTGTTTATACCAGGCAAAGTATTCTTGAAGTACTATCTGCAAAGTCAAATGAAACACCTTATGTTTACATATTCATGAAACAGTTTTTTTGAAGTATTCATTCTATGCGAATTTAACTACTAGAGGAATTCTTAAGCAAATAGCCCAATTTGACTCAAGTGAATACTATTTAAAGGACCATACTCAACCAAATACGAAATAAACACTTGCGGAAATGGAAACGGTTCTACCTACATAACAATGAAACAAAGATTGCTGAAGTATTCACTAAAGACCACTTATATACTATGTCTGAAAAGCACAATTTGCATGAGCAAGCTTAAAGATGCACAATAATGGAAATAGAAGCGGTTCTACTTACATAACGATGAAACAAAGATGTCTGAAGTATTCAATAAAGACCACATATATACTATGCTTGAAAAACGCAACTTGCACAATCAGGCTTAAAAAATGCACAAGAATCCTAGAAAAGTACTTAGTGAAGGCCATACACAAGCAAATTCGCAAATACATAAAAACATCCAAAAGCGCAAGCTTTTCAGGAGAATCTCTGGTAAAGTTTGGATTATAGGATTTTGGGGTATTCCTGGACGAGTAGGCGTCACTTTCTAAGCAAACAATTCTAAGCAATAAATGCTTTTTCTCAAGACAAGTATTGCAAATGCTGCTTCTAGATAATTAATCGCATTTACCAGGCAAATATTATCCATGCGAATTGAGCTACCAGAGCACCAGGTAATGGCTGAATAAGGTCTACTACACTTGAGTACAACCAAAAGATGCACTAAACACTAGCGGCTCTACTTACATAATAACGAAACAAATAGTTCTCAAGCACTAGAAAGACCACTTGTATACTACTTCTGAAAAGCACAATTAGCATAAGCACACTTAAAAATGCGTAGTTGTTGCCTCGTGACCGTGAAGGCAAACCAAAAAGCCAAAATACCAAAACCAAAAAACCAAAAATACCAAAACCAAAAAAACCAAAACTAAAAAATCCGAAAATACCAAAAGAAACAATTTTCCGGGACTCTTGGAGAAGCCTCATAGGGATTTCCTGAGAGTCCCGGAAAATTGTTTTTTTTGGTGTTTTTGGTTTTTTTGGTTTTGGTTTTTTTGGTTTTTTTGATTTTGTTTTTTTGGTTTTTTTGGTTTTGTTTTTTTGGTTTTTTTGATTTTGTTTTTTTGGTTTTTCTACTGTCCCGTGTATGCGATTTTAGTTGTATTTTAGTCTACGCCCTAGGAAATACGCTATATTGCACACCGAGTTTGCTTGCAGTGCAGCTGGGTGACTTGAGACAAGGCGAAGAAGGGCAGGTCACTGGGGGGGGGTACCATGTATATATATATAGTCTTATCTGATTTTGAATATTCTATCATTTTGTTTGTACTTCGGGCCCCGGGCGGCTCCCCGGATTGTATCCGTTCTGGCGGAGACATCCTTGGGCCTTGGGAGACTTGAGAAGGCCTAAATTGGGGCTCGGAGTTCTGCTTCCTCTGGCCAAGGGTTTAGGGCCTTCAGGATTTAGGGTCGGGGTTTAGGGGTTTTAGGCCCTTTAGGGCTTCTTGTTTGGTTTAGGTTCAGGCTTTAGGGTAGAAGCGTGGTTGAGAATGCGGGCCTGAAAATCTCACATTCCTTCGCTCATGCTCGGGCAAGGGCCCACCAAGTCTTCTTTATGAAAGCCTGCGCACCCCTAAACCTTGACTCGGTGGGGCGGACGGAGGGTACGTTGCAGTTGCTGCGAGGATGCACCTTTTCCATGGATGCGCCTCCGCTTCACGATCGCAGTCTCCAGCCTGCGCTGATCTTTGGCGGTGTCCAGCAATACTTTCGATAAAACCATGTGATGCCAGCTGTGTACAATCCATTTGTGGCAATGAAGAGAAAAGTCGCTGCAGGCAAGCTGCCTGCCGTCCAGGGCACCCACGTCAGAAACGCCCCCCTCATGACCATTTTGAAATACTCCGCCGTCTCTTCCTGCCCTGGCTGGGGTGGGTTGGCATTGAGCTCGGCGTTCGCCAGCAGCGCAAGCGCGGAGAGGCAGGGCAGAACACCATAGGGATCCGGCAGCACCAAGGAGTCCATCCAGAGGCTGGACGATGTCACGAAGCTTCGAAAGGTATCAGGGTGGTTCATGATGCCGTAGAGGGCCCCAAAGTAAGTCAGGCCTAGGGGCAGCACGACACCGAGCTGGTAACCCAGGCCTTGCACTGGGGAAAACCGGGTCTCCTCCGTGAAGGCCTGGAAGCGCGCGGTGGCCTTTTGAAGGTCGGCTTCCGCCTTCGCCGCGCCCGCAGCCCCACCGCCGTCGCGCCCGCCCCGCCGCGCCTGCGCGTCGGTGTAGGCTTTCGCCAGCTCCATGTAGACGGGCATCAGCACAAAAGCATCGCAGCGGCGTTTCAGCGATTTGACATTCCAGGGAGCTGTAGCAAGCCGTGTTAGCAGCGCTGCCACGACCACAGCAGCGCCCGCATCACCGGTGGCTGAGTGAAGCAGCAAGAGACTTTGTTGCAGCGTGTCCATCAGCAGCCACGGCTGATAAACCTCCAGCGGGTTGACACCCACATCTGATGCCGCAGCACGCAGCAAGAGGAGTACCTCCTCTTCCGAACTGGCTCCGGCTCCGGCAGGCAGCACACCTCCGGCGAAGCCACGCGGTCGTGGTCCCCATAATCCCCATAGCGGCCGTCGTGCCGGTGCCAGTGCCCGGCCGAGCCGAAGGACCCGACTCAGCGACATGGGTCCCCGACTTCACGAAGTACGAGTATTCTAGCACAATTGACACCTCCTTGGGCCCAAGACATGTGCGAACATGTGACGACAGACATCAGACAACGAAAGCCATGCCTCGAGAAGTACCTTGCAGCCCTAAGCATGGCACCGCTCGTCGCCCTGCATTACCCGAAGCTTGAAATCTCAATTTCCGAACCACACCGCGGCGAAAATTTGGCACCCAGGCGTTTGCCCTTCTCGCCGCCTTTCATGGGCGGCGGTGGCTGCTGCACACCTCGTCAGGTACGTCTCATGCTGAGCATGAGGCTGAAGCTTCATGAACGCATCCACTGTGCAGAGCCATCCCTGAGCCTGGTGGCACTCCTTTGAAGCCAGGACTGATCGGCCCCTTCTTGCCGCCTGAGACAGGCAAGTTGCGGTCTCCAGGGTTTCGAGATGTTTCGAGTTCGTGCACCCTGGGAGCAGGGCCAGGTGGGACAAACATGGTTTCCATGGTTCTTAGTAGCACAAGGTGTGCGCCACGGGCCGCATCTAGGGCTGCGGAAAGGTTCGGATTGCGCGTTGAAGGAAGCCAGGCCAAAGATTTGAGGCTTGGAGGTTCAAGTTGCTTTGATCTTCAATCCTTCCTTGGGTGGCCTGCTTTAAGTTGAAAGTCGGTCGGAAAATTGGGAAAGAAGGGACATGATCAGAAGACTGGAAACTCTGAAAGTTACCTAAGTGTGTGCGAAGCCAGGTGGAGGCCCGGGGGCATATGGCCCGGACCAAAACGCTGATTCCTTCCGTCAGTCCTCCGCGACCTTCGACCAAGCCCATCAATGGCGCAGAGGACACACAACCCAAAACCCTGGATACTCTTCTGGACATACACTTCCGCCGCCTGCCAAAATTCATCTCCAGTTCAAGAACACGAAACCCTGACCCCACTACCACCCCTCCGGCACCGCGCCTTTCGCGCCTTTTGCGTCGAATCTATCGGCCGGACCCGGGCCCTTGTGGCCCATGGGGGGCCTCAGAGGCTACGGTTTGGGCGTCAGACTCACCGGAAGTTCCTTGAACTTAGACTGCTGGCTGCCTGGGTTGATGAGACCCGAAGCTTTCAAACGGTGCTCACAGCTGTCCACTGCTCAAGGTTCTGCAATGTTCTGAGCCTATTTTGCCCTTCAAACATGAACATCCTGCCCCAAAATCGCTGTGGCTCGCCACACCCCTGGGTGCCTCGATGGGGGAAATGTGACACCGTACCTGCTCCGGGCGACATATTGGCATGTTGATGTGGCTATGGCAAGATGTAGTGAGGCTGTCCATCCCAATCGAATCGCCATGCTCAAGAGGAGTGTACAGTCGCTGAATCTGAACATCACTGACTTGAGGCCCTGGCCCTTCCCTGGGTGAGGGCTGCTCCCGCTGGAAGCCTCCACAAAAGCACCCAGGATCTTCGGGATCCCGCATGATCATATCTTGAATGAAGTCAGAACCCTGATCCGACATGGCCCGGAAACCCCGCCAGTTGGCAACTGTAAACCCTGATGCGGCAACCTTGACTCGTACACAACGGGGATCAGGGAACCGTGGTGGGAAAAATGCATCGCACGTCCAAGCACCCGCAAAGCACCGGCAGAGCACCTTGGAGGCCTCTACCCCTGGGCAACGTTGGAATCTTCAACCCCACCCTCCGAACCGCTTTGGGATCCCTAAAATTTCCAGGCATCAACTCAACCCTACAGCCCTGAAAGGCCCCGAAAACTGGCCTCAACAGCAAGGGTCCACAAAAACCCTGAGAGGCCCTAAGACGCCGAGACCTTTGGGTGGTGCGAAGTCGCCACCCTTCTTGCCGCCTTCGGAGTGCTCTCAGATTTTCGGGCTGAGGGCATGCGGGCGATGCTCTCTCACGAGGCAAAGCTTCCAAGCCTGCGTTCACAGGCTTGTGGACTTCAGACTTCAGGGTGGTGTTTTTTCTCTCTCTTGTTTTCGGGATGTTGGCCTTTGGCTTAGGTTAAGCTTTGGGCTTGCAGAACTCGAACAGCCCATGCAAACACCGTACCGATAGCCAGGTGTCCGGTCAGCAGTCTGCAAATAAAATGGTCAACGTCACCAGGGCTGGGCAGGCTTTCTTCTGAGCCACACATGCCTCCCTCCCGTCCAGGTACCTTTGCCAGCTACTCGGCCTAAGTTTCCTTAATGGATCTGCAAGCCAAGAAAGGCCTGGTCAACCCCGAAATCCTATCCTGCGCCGAGAAAGCCCGCTCAACAACTGCGCTGGACTGTCATCCTTGCACGGTCCAGACTCGAACCTAACAACCCCAGTTTCGACGTGACCTTTCGCGTGCGTCCCGAAGCCAAAACCAACAAAAACTAAGGGCCGGAGAATTAAGTTAGGATTTTTTGTTGTTTTGTTTTTGGAGTCTTTTGTTTTTTGCTTTAGGGTTTAGGGTTTAGGGTTTTTGGGGTTTAGGGTTTAGGGTTTAAGGTTTAGGGTTTAGGTTTTAGGGTTTAGGGTTTAGGGTTTAGGGTTTAGGGTTTAGGGTTTAGGGTTTAGGGTTTAGGGTTTAGGGTTTAGGGTTTACCAATAGCAAGGACAAAAAACAAAAAAATATCCTAAAAACAATAGACCTCCAAAACTAACTCTCCTGAAGCTGAAGTCCTCAGAACCCTCAACCCTCAACCATCCTAAACCCCCTCTTACAAAGCCTCCCATTTCGGAGCCCCTTCTTTGCGCCTGCTCGGATAGGGCCAGGGCTGTGCACCACTGGGCCCGTACCGGCGCAACCCCCGAGCCGGTCGGTGCGCGTGAAGACGCTGCCTTTGCTACCTAAGAGCCTCGGCGACTGGGCTCTTTGGGGCTTTGTGGGTTAGGGGGGGGGGGGGCGGGTAGGGCGGGTTGGGGGGTCCCGACCCCACTGAACACTTTACACGAAGGCTTCTAACCCCGACAAACCAGAACCTTGATGGGTTTAAGCGGTTCGGGTTTGTTGTTTTTTCTCTTTGTTGTGTTTGTTCTTTCATTTCTGTTTTTTTTTTCCTTTTTTTTTTGGGGGGGGTCCTGGGATTAGCGGGAGTCTGTGCAGTGCGCCTGCTTAGGTTGTGTCTGAGCGCATAAATGGGATGTCAAGGGCCTGCGCCGCCCGGGGTGCTGGCTACTCGGACATGTCAGGCGCGGCTTCTCTGAAGTTTAGACTTGGTTGACATGTGTGCTGTGAATGTGCCAGAATGAGCCAAAGCAACAATTAACAGACCAGAAGTCAAAGTCTGTAACAATAGTAAACTTCAAGAAATTGAAAGCATATAAGGTGGCTTCAGAAAGCGAAGCAAAGATATCCATCTAAACAATACGTGCAAGTGGCGGAAACATTGTGGAGAAAGAAGTTTCGGGGGGCACCGGTTTTAAGTCTGGGCACAAGAACCATCCCCCCACACATTGCCCCAGCGATGACTGCCAATGAACCTCCAGGCACTAGCCCTAAACCCTCAACCCTAAACCCGAAACCTTTTAAACCCTGAACCCCGGACATCCCTACACCCTGAACCACAAGCCCTCCTGTAAATGGAAGCACTTGGCCAGCAGGACCCGAGGCCATCACCCCTTCGGCGCCGGGGTGACCATGGGCCTAGGGGTCTGAGGGTCTCAGGGTTTAGTGGGTTAAGGGGGTTTAAGGGCTTGCTTCCTCGGGTTTTACGGTTTTTCCCACCCAAGGTTTAAGGTTTGAGGTTTCGGGGATTAGGCTCGTTGTTGTTCGGCCGTAGGGTGTCTTGGACTTCAGCTCAGGACTCTCGCTCTGAACTCTGAATCCTCGAAGTGTTGATATGGCGGTTTACGACAATAAGGGACCCAATATATAAACCCCCAAATCGTAGGATCCCTTCTAATAAGGACCCCTCATAAGGTACCCCTTCTATCGTAAACCCCCATATCGGTTTTCAGGTTGTTGGGCGCCAATGTGGCCCTCCCAGCCATGGCTTTCCTGGCACCTCTAAGACTTCCCCTGAACAACCAGATCAAGCATGTGGGGGGGGGTTGTTTCTGTATTGGGGTCCCCTTATAAAGTTCCCGATTTTGTAACACCTCCAACCAGGGCCCTAATTTTGGAACCACCTCCTCTTGAAACCCTAGGACATCCTAGGACCACACAAGGGGTCCGAAAGAGAGCAGCTCGAGCCCCGCACTCTCTGCGGAAGCCTCGGGTGAAGCTGCTGGCTGCTAGCATGCTTTCACGATGCTCGGCGGCTAGCGCAATCAACAACTGCATATATGTATATGTATGTATATAAATATACACACGTATGCAGGCATGAATGTGGGCGCGTCTCTGGAACTGTTGCTTAAGTTTTTGAATTGATGTCTGCATGTGCAATTCTGGCTTCTTTGAAGTTATGCTATTGTCGTGCCTCCTTTGGCATCTCCAGCGCCCGCACCCTGTCGCAACATCCAGCGTTTGTCATAGACTCTCTCGCACTCGCAGGGCTTAGGGCATGAGATGTGGAGAGCTTCTCGGCTCACGAGGTTGGCGAGGGTCATCCCATTTCCAACTGGCGTTTCGGTTCCCACCGAGCTTATCTGGGCTGTACGACTTGTAAAGCACTACCATCGAGCGAAGCTGAGACATCATGAATGTGAAAGATTCCATCCTGCAATTTCCTCCGAATCAGAATCCTGCAGATCTTATCCGTCCCACCATTTGCCTCGACTCAGGGTCCAACCTAAACCCTGTCAACCAAACACGTTACAAAGCAGAGACTACGTTGCTTCGGCCGCTCTGAGCTACGGTGCGGCCGCGAACCAGCCCAACCAGCCCGGAGAACTGTAGAGAAAGATGCGAGAGGGGAGTACGACGAATTTCAGCTCAATCAGCACAGCCCTCATTCTTGAAAGGGTCTTTTTCAGAGGGAGTTTTCAGAGGGCATGTGAACAAGGCCGCGCGGCATCCCCAAGCCTTCAGCGTGCGGAAGACGCCACCATCTTTGCCTCTGCACGAAACCCTGCCCCTCCCCGAATCACAACTCGTCGCTGGGTTCGCTGTCTGCAAATATTGGGGTGCTTTGTGGGCTTTTTTTTGTGAAGGGCCAAGTGCCTTCCGTGGCCCGGATCGTCCCTGGCCTCAGCTGACGTTCGTGGCATCGTGGCAACCGGTTCATCTGGTTGGCGGCTCAACACGCGTTTGCATCAGCGTAGGCTGCTTGTCCCAACAATGTAGGCCCGGACCCTTTGCCGTTGGTCGCGGCAGCGCCTGCACATCCAGGCCCATGCACTTTGCACATCCGGAACCCCTCAAGATCCTCAAGACTGGCCTTTGAAAGGGCCGGGTCCTTTCTTCCCAACAACAAACCTGGGCCACTGCACCACTACAGCGTCACGGTCTGGTCCCGTCACATGCCCCATTTTAACATGCGAAAAGAAGCTGCAAGCATTGAGCTTGGATCGAGACTGATACTTAATCTGAGATTTCTGAGATTGCCGCGCAGCAGGTGCTGGTGACTGTTTGCCACCTTTGGCCTTGGTTTGGTATCTTGATATGGCAGAAATGGCAGAGCTACCCGTCACCTTCTCAAAAAGGACTCAGTGTCCAGCTGGCCATGCCATCCTGCGCCTTGTTGGGATGGCATCCAGCCCATGAACAAAAATGGCGCTTGAGCCGAAACAGGTTTTGGCCCACCCAGAATTCTGCTACGCATTGCTACGCCACAGTAACATCCAAATCCAAGTCCTGTTCTGCTCTGCCGCAGCCACTCTGCTTGCTTCAGGCTTTCTAGGTGTCTATAACGGGTTGTTGGCAGAGTGGGTTGCAGACGCGGCGAGCGGTGTTTGTCGAAGACGAAGTTACGTTTCAAACACCGTGGACGGCGTCAGCTGCAATGGTAACAAACGGCAACTGCCCCAGCATGAGAGCTACGAGCTGGCAGTTGCGCACGCATGTTTTTCGGCACGTAGGCGCTGCTGCGATTTGGACTCGATGATCAGAGTTTCGACTGCGGCTCCAGCACAGACTAATCCTCTGGCGCGTCAGCGACCCGAACGATGGTGAAACGTTCCCATGACCAACTGGGCGGCAAGTCCTTGCAGCGCTAGGTGACTACACAGGATGTGGGGACTGAGTCACCCATGAAACTTCAGAGGCTGAACAGGCAATGAGCATACTTTTGAGGAGTTTGGCACGGGGCTTTGGGGACTTATCTGAAAAAAGCACTCTATGAACTGAGTATGAAAACATGTGCGCTTTGTCGGTCCTGGGGAGCCTTGCGGTCGCTTCGGTCGACGGAACCATGATCGTTGATCCGGACGAAGCCTTGAGGTGTTGATGCCGTACATTATATCTCTTTTCTGTTAAGCCTATACCTGGTATTTGCAGCCGAGAGGCGTCTATAACAAGCTAACAAGGATCTGGTCCCCTTCCCAACCCTTCCCAACCCTTCCCAACCCTTCCCAACCCTTCCCACCCCTTCCCAACCCTTCCGAAAAATACGATACTCACGCTTTGTTTCTACTGATCATAAGATTGAAATTCATACGACTAATGCTTTTTCTGATAACCACGAGAGGTACTTTCTTTTGCAATGTATACCAGCATATTGCACCGTGTCTTTGCATGCCGCTACCTGGGCACACTGTAGTGGTACTACGCACCCACCCTCCGCGCAACCAACTGGCCTGCTTTGGCGCGAAATGTAGGGGATCAAAAAAAAAAATGGGATCAAATATTAATTTAGTTATAGGCGGATCCAAACAAAAAACTTATTTGGGGTCAAAAATGATAGTTTACTGAAGGCTTCGAAGGCTTGTTGCAAGCGGAGCGGAGGCTGTAAACGCTCAGAAATGCAGCATTTCTGGCCGCTCGCAAGCTGTAAACACCGAAAAGACACAGCATCTATGCGGGAACTACTGAAAATAACAGCATTTTTGAGTTTCCAGAGAGGCTGCAAATACTGTATATAGCAGCAGTTCTGCGCTTTCAGAGGCTGGAAATACTGTACATTGCTGCATTTCTGAGTTTCCAGAGGCTGCAAATACTGTACATAGCAGCATTTCTGCGCGAAATACGGTAAATAGCTGCATTTCTGAGTTTGCAAATCAATGCTGGCATCTTGGCATATCTTGGCATTAGCAGTTTCAAAAAAAATGCGAATACTCTGAAGCAAGCCAGAACGATTTTAAACAGAGCGGGGGGGTTGGGGGGCTGCGCCCCCGCACAATGCTCGCATCATGGGTTTCGAAAGTATGCTGAAGCACCTGTCACGACTTAAAATAAGGCGGGGTGTGTAGCTTCCCCGATTTGCAAACACAATGCTCGCATCAGAGGCGTCGAAAGATGCGTATGCTTTGAAGCAAGCTCGCACGACTTTAAAAAAAACGGGGGGGGTTGTTAGGGGGGGCACAGCCCCCCCCCCCCCCCCCCCCCCCCCAACACGTATGCTTTTAAGCAAGCTGGCACGACTTTTCTTGCCTTTGTTTTGTTATTTCTTTCTTTCTTTCTTTCTTTCTTTCTTTCTTTCTTTCTTTCTTTCTTTCTTTCTTTCTTTCTTTCTTTCTTTCTTTCTTTCTTGATGTCTTCCTTCCTTCATTCCTTCCTTCCTTCCTTCCTTCCTCCTTGCTTCCTCCTTGCTTCCTCCTTGCTTCCTCCTTGCTTCCTCCTTGCTTCCTTGTTGCTCTTCCTTGTTGCTCTTCCTTGTTGCTCTTCCTTGTTGCTCTTCCTTGTTGCTCTTCCTTGTTGCCCTGCCTTGTTGGTTCCTTGCTTCCTCCTTGCTTCCTCCTTGCTTCCTCCTTGCTTCCTTGTTGCTCTTCCTTGTTGCTCTTCCTTGTTGCTCTTCCTTGTTGCTCTTCCTTGTTGCTCTTCCTTGTCTTGTTGGTTCCTGGCTTCCTTGCTTCCTTGCTTCCTTGCTTCCTTGCTTCCTTAATGCCTTGCTTCCTGGCGTCCTTCCGTCCTTCGGCCCTTCCGCCCTTCCGCCCTCCGCCCTTCCGCCCCTTCCGCCCTTCCGCCCTTCCGCCCTTCCGCCCTTCCGCCCTTCCGCCCTTCCGCCCTTCCGCCCTTCCGCCCTTCCGCCCTTCCGCCCTTCCGCCCTTCCGCCCTTCCGCCCTTCCGCCCTTCCGCCCTTCCCTCCCTCCCTCCTTCTCTCCCTCCCTCCCTCCCTCCCTCCCTCCCCTTCCCTCTCTCCATCGGAAGAACAGAAACATTATTTCTTGATCCTAAATACATTATTATTGACCCTACATAGTTTTTCTTGATCCCATTTTTTGATCCGCATGCCAGGAACCCGTTGTCAATTCCGCCAAGACCAAAATCACATAAGCTATTGCAAAAGAATGGTATAGCGATGCAAAGCGATGTACGCTTGCAGGCTTCCAAGTTTGGCAAGCCAGACTTCGAAACTCTCTTTAGACTGCTGTCCTAGACTTCTCTTGAGCCCAGAAGCGATCGTGAACAGGATTCCAAAGGGCAACCACGCCATTCTTTGCATCGGTAGGAACAATGACGAAGCGCTCCCACCCCCAATCACTGGGGATGTCATGCACAGCCTGGGCTCAAGTGGCGAAAATCAGATCCAACCGCAGTGCTGGCGACAAAAGGATTCGTCAAACTCCACGGCTTAGGTGGCAGCAAATTGAAGCAAGCGCAAAAAATCTAAAAAAATTGCCCTGGTGCATGGAGGCGTCCCGCTCTGGGCTGCTCTCCATTTTATGATTGTTCATCCGCATGTAGCGATTGGCTTTTTGGTTGTGGAAGCCCACCATGCCATTGCCAGCATCCACGACGGTGAAGAGCGGCGTCTTCCAGCCCTTGGGCAGGTCCTTGCCATGCGCAAGGCTCTCCACCTTCAACCCATTCATGCGAATGAAACGGTTATGGCGCCCACTGTGCAGGGCCACGACGGATCCGGGCTCCAGGTAAGGCTTTGCTGGCACAGCGTAGAAGCGTTCCAACTTCCAGTCTGCCGGAAGGTCGTTTGCACCCTTCGGGGCGCTGCTTTTGAGAGATCCTTTCTCATCCATGGAGATGAAGCGGTTGTTGGAGGGGCTGTGGAGTGCGATCATCCCGTCCCCCGCATCGACGACCTTGAAGCGCTCCTTGTCCCAATGTTTCGGGAGGTCCCTTGCAGCCTTGGCTTTTGACATAGGAAGGGTCGCCTGAAAAACTTGAGGCAACACACACACACACACACACACACACACACACACGTCAAGCCAACCAGTGAGATGTTAATCCCGGGCTCCCGGCATTGATGGGGCTGGCCATTATATCTCCACCCTTCATCTTGATGAAGCGGTTGCCCTGGGAGTTGTGGAACGCGAGGTCCCCATTGCCCCCATCCACCACGGTGAAGCGCTCGAAGGTGAACCAATCGGGCAAGTCCAGGGGGTTCTCGAGTGGGGTCGACGCCATGGCCGACACACTGGCGATGCCAATGTTCACCGTGCGCCTGAGCATCGCAACCCGTGTTTCTGGGCTCAGCAAGATGTTTAGGGCTCCCAGGGCATGTTCAAACCAAAGATCAAGAATGGGACTGGATGAATGCGTCTTCACGATGTAAACCCTTTGAGATTGTTCAACACACACACACACACATCTACCTACATTGTATATATATATATATATGTATATATATATATATATATACATATATATATATATAGGTTGGCCCCTAAAGCCCTCTGAAAAATATTCCTGAATACGATCCTCTTAAACCCAAGTAAGGAAAATATAAAATGTCCCAACGGCCTACCTAGATACATATATGAATACAAGTACGCAAACAAAAACCTGGATGTTCGCACCCAGCCGCATGGCCAGGAAGCGCTTCGCTGCTGGGCTCCAGAGGGCAATCGTGGGCCAACCATACTTGGAACCCTTGGCCTCGAGGAAGGGGGAAAGGGCTTTCGGGGTGGGTTCAGGGTCTTGGGTGGAGGGCTTCTGTGGGTCAAGGCCGCCGCGTCTATGCTTTACAGTTTCACAAGCCCTGGGCCTCCTCGACGGCCCGCTCGCTGTCGACGATTTCACTGGCATTCACGCCCGACAACAGCTTAAAAGACCATGTGACGCTCGACAAGGAAAGCCAAATCACCGCAAGCGTTGCAGGAGGCATCGGCGAATCGCCGAGAGTGCCTTGAGCTTCGTTACGCAGCTGCAGGCACGCAGGCATTCATTTGAAAGAGGTCTCATGTTACACGCATATTTCGATGTATTTGCATACAAAGGTACGCAGGTGTGTGTGTGTGTGGATGTGCTGCACGCATGTATACACACATGTATGTATGCAAGTAGCCTTATATCATGTTGTGCATGCGGAGGGGACTTGCGCGTCTTGTTTTTGTTGGAATACGCATCAAAACACGTACGTGCAAATCAAAGGCAGGTGTCCATAGGAGAGAGAGAGAGAGAGAGAGACTGGTCCGGAAACGACTGTTGAGTCCATAGGAAAAAGCACAAAAGAAACAGCACACCCTTCCCGGGGATAGAACTACGAAGAGAGCAATTATTCTGGCTTTATAAGGAGTGAGAGAATGCAATGAGCGAAAGAACGCATGAAAGCAAGAAATGACTGTGAACGAAGTACAGCATTTAATAGTAAATTGTAAGGGCTAGAAAAATAGTAATGCTTTATGAGGCCCTTTTGTACGTATTATTTGGTTCGTATTATTTGGTTGTTTGGAAATCCAAACCTTTAGACGTTACATCAGATTCATTTTGTTTTCTTATTAATAGTTCTTGGTTATTATTCTTTGCTCTTATTATAATTCTATTTAACTTTACAGGATTTAATATTTATTGCTGGACTTGAATTCACTTCTCGCAGAATTGTTTTCTTATACTTTATCATCTTTTTTTGGATAACTTTATCATATTTGGTCTAGAGATTTATTAAGAGAATTCACGAAAAAATAGCCCCAAAACATTTCTTGGAAACGGTGCAAAAGCACACAGTTCCCTCGAAACAAAAGCTGCAAAGATTGGGCTTACCCAACATCACACTTTTCCAAACGTCTGCATATTGTCCTATCTATGTTGCTACTCGTCGAATGCGCAGTCCACCCTTACTAATCGAATGCACATCGCCCTTTTTGCGTCTGGACTCCTATTCCCTACAACAAATGAAACGACTACACTTCTTTGAGGCTTCCGGGAAGAGCCGCATCAGTGCATCAGCCTTAATAAAAGATACAATTGTCGAAGATCTCTACGAAAAGGCACCAGACATGCAATACAAACAGTCCTGAGTAGGGATGGTCAAAAGGGGTATTACAATCCCTATTCAAGACTGTCAGTAGGGGGAACATCCCAAGACCTAGGGTTTCCAAGAGAGCGCGTTTTCAAGCTCTTGCGTTGGCACAAAGACTCACTCATGCTTCCTTTTCTGATGATTGAGTGCTGAGCAGAAGTGTGTGGATGTGGGTCTGAGTGCATGTGCATGGCTTGAGTGGTGCTGCTGATGTGGGTGTTCCCACACAGGGGCGGTGGAGGGGCCTGGCTGGATAAAGGACCGTGGGAACAAGCATAAACAACAGTACAAGAAACATAAAGAACAGTCCAATCTAAAGGCCCCGGCGGCCCTTCTTCCAAGAGCCAAGAACATGCCAAGAACCAATCTTCCCCGCACTCTCAAATCTTGGCCCTTGCTTTTGGTTTGATCGTCGTACTTCGGCATGTCGGCTGATTCTCGCTCAATCATAGCCTTTGCTTTAGGGCAGTAGGAAGCTAGGGCAATAGGAGGCTGGCTTGGAGCTTCAGGCTTTTCCGTAAACCTGCTTTCCGTTGTCCCGTCTTGCGAGCGCCTATGCCAGACATCCCAACACATTTTTTCCTCAGCGCGCCCGTCTCTTCACCGACCCGTCTTGTCCTTGCACGCGCACAGCGGCGCGTGGTGACCATACTTGTTCCGGTCACATGTCAAAGAGCCTGCGCGGGTGCCAGCCGAAACTGGCGCGCAGTCATCGCTTCTGCCTGTGGAGAAAGGGCTGCCCGCATATATAGTTGCAGGGTGCATGGAAGCCTTAGAAGACCAGAATAGACCAGACGACAGCACTAGATGCCAGCCACAAGCAAAAGACCAGCACAGGCAGAGCACAGGGCCATCGAGCAAGCAACTGACACACCCGCCGTGAATTGTTTCTTGCATGGCTCCAACATGTACCAGCTCGTTATCGTTCACAAACTGCATTGCTGACGATTCGTGCATGCACGCACGTCGTACCTTTTGCCTTTGAGGCAACGACACAAAATGTGGGCAACATGATAAGCTTGGTCCCAGCGAACGGGGGGATCGAAATGCAGCAACGCGTTGAGAGATATCATTGTTGGCAAACACCGAAAACCCAACGACTGCTTTGACATCACGGAAGCGACGGAAGAGCCTCCACATGCAGGCAAGAACATCCTGGCGATGAAAATGGGTTACGCATCGGCTTTCTTGTCCGCGCTGAACTCCTGCGCGCCGGAGCTCCATTTTGGCTCAAGGAGGTCGCTCAAGAATCCGATTCTGCAGTTGGGATCCATGATGGGTTCGACAAGTTGACGAGTTTCATATTGTTGTTCATAGTGTCCTTTTTGAGCCATGGGTTGCTTGAAGGCATTGTCAGCTGCTGGCCTTGGTGTTTTCCCAAAACTGCCGTGGTGAAACAAAGACTTGTTGCAATTCGAAGCATCGTGGTCGAAGCCGCGCATCCCTTGCTCTCATTATGCGTCGAGGCATGTCTCGTACGCCTGCAAGAGCACGCCGTAGTGCAACCCCCGTGCGGCATGTTGTGCCGAGCAATTTGGGAATGACCCCATCCCCCAAAAGACCAGGTGACCGATATCCGTCACCGCCCCAGTTCATGTCGCCCATCACAGCCCCGGACAACGCGGCAGCGTCTGAGGATGACAACAGCCTGAGTCAATCCATGTGTGCCTTGTGCCAGCTCCCTCTTTCGCCTCCCACTTGGCGTTGCCTTGTGAGTGTGGAATAAGTCTGCACCTCGCGTGTGCTACACAAATACGCATCAGGTCTCATGCCCCTCCTTGCATGCAGTGTCGTGCAAGCTGGCCAGGCCCTCATGCAGACGCAGCTCTCATGGCCGCTTGTCGTGATGCCGGGGTACCAATGGAGAACACTTGGGAAGCACTCCCTGATCACGAATGATTTCCTTCAAGATATTATTCCGCACCCCCCTGACCGCATACGGGTCCTTTGTTGCCCACGCCTTGCACATTTCGACTTTGTGGCACACCTGCGCGAGATGGAGTGGGCTCCTGCACGGCTTTTCGAAACCAACACCGCCGGTGTACGTGTTCAGACTGGATGGAGAGGAGAGTGGTCGTGCAATCAATGTGGACGCAGTGTAACACAAAATGACCCACTCGTCAATTGGTGTTCCGCAGATTCTCCCACCGCTACGACTAATCCCCCCAATGCCCCAGATGAACCCCAAACACTGGTTGTTGATGCACATGACAGATCACGAACTTGGTTGTGTATGCCGAATTCCTCACATTTGCACCACGAGACGTTCTTGCGCAATCCCGTGCCTCAGCCGACGAATTTGTTCACAGCCCCGCCACCGACCGCCAACCATGAGGAAACCCTTGCGACAGTCGTCGAAGTGCTGTGTGTGGTACGCGTCGCCGCTGTCGCATTTGTAATGAACAAATCCAATCCCACATGCAATCACTTTTTATCATTGCGCACGAGGTTGTCGTTTTTCAGCTTGCGCCAATTGTTTTGCTCCCGCAGTGCGTGCCCCTGGTTACAACAATGCTGCGGAACGATGTGCAAGCGAGCCCGCCCGTTGCACGAACAACCCTTCGTCTTCGGCAAACCCCGCCCAGGCAAACGACAGTTACGGACGTGTCCAGCTCACGAGGTATGTTAACATGTCGCTTGAGGCGTTTTTTGATAAAATCAACAAGTTCATCCGTGATGGTCGCTTTGAAAACCTGGGATTCCCGCAGCTCAGAATTGAAGGCACCACCGCATGGGGTGCATGGCTCCGGATAAATCGTAGGCAAGGAGCGTTCGGCCGTCGACCTCAATTGCTATGCGGAGTTTTGTTCCACACGGCCAACAGAACACTAACCTTTCACGGAGATGCATCTTCAGCGGTAGGACCCCTTCTGCCCTTGTTTCGCACATGGACTGCATCATGCATTGCGGATTTGGCAGGGCCAACTGCGAATATACCTGCGTTGGATTCTGCATCCCACCTCCCCGCGCAACAGCGTCAGTGATGCTGTCAATGATGTGATTGTCAGCCATCATGGTCGTCCTACTCATGCAGCACCATGTGGTCCTGTGACAATAGGGGAGCTACAGGAAGCACCTTGCTCAGAACATGCAGTCGCCCCCGGTTTACCAGAACGACTGTCACAGGACATCCTCAATCTGCAAACGTCAGTGTTGTCGTTGTGTAACATGGTCACCAGTATACTTTACATACTGAACGCGCGGGGAATCGCGGGGACCTCCCGCTTGCTTGCGCAGGCTATCAGAAACATGTGTTGCAGACGGTGGTGTTGGTGATGTTCGGCCAGCCTTCCCCCCGCCTGAGGCCGTTACCTCCGCCACCCCCTCCGGCCCCACGATTGAATCCCTTGCCCCCATTGCCTCCACCACCCCCATCGCGGGCACGCCGTCACCAGGGTTCGTGGGAGCAGTTGCCGCCGCAAACCATGTCTTCATTTCATGATCACCACGGTTGCAAGCTATCCAACATATGCAATCCTGCCGCGCCTACACAAACAAAATGACCCTCTTGCAGATGTCCATGCTGATGTTTCGGCTCATACCATAAAATCCAACATTAGGTTCATTTGGTAAATGAATCTGGGCAGGCGTTTCGCGGGCAGACGCGCGACAACAGCTTGATAGTCTGTATGCTAGGTTGGTTAGGTGTTAACTGTATACGACTCCTTCGACCTGCTGGCCTTTGGGCGCGTCTTGCTTGTTTGTCTGGCAAATGCTTGGCTGCACGAATTGCCCAGTTTGCGAGCAATGTCGAGTTCTCGTTCACAAACGCCGCAGCAAATGAATCGATGTCAATAAGAGTCTTGGGGGATTGGGCCGGGCACAGCTTCATCTGTCGTGAAGCGCTGGCTACGGCATGTGAAAATGGTGATCAACCAGCAGTCGCATGCCCTGTACTCGGTGGCACTGCGTGCTACAGAGTCGCTCACTTTGTATGCTGAACTGCAGCCTTGGCCGCTCCTACACCCTATAGTCTAAAGCCGGCATCTTTCTCCTGTCTCTGCGCGGTTTTGGGGATTGGCTTGGTGTGGCCATCACTGTTTTAGCGATGGATGCGCAGCACGCCATTCAAACATGGGATCCCTTTCATGCCGTTTTTGCACACGTGGCCCAGACACACTGAACCATGCGTTGCTTGAATGCTCCGCGCATACTTTCTTGAGACGAAGGTGGAGATCCCGAGTTGGCACAACCCCAATCTTGTGTTTGCGAACCCTTTTCAACACGCATGCCACCGTAAATACAGCCAGACAGATCTTGTACAGTGCGCAATTTGTGGCAGCAGTTTGCCAAGCCGCAGAGGCGTGTGAGATGTGACGCGATGTGATTCAAATTCAAATTGTTACATCGTTGCATGTTGTGTGATGCAGACACTTGCATATGACATGTGTTGTTTCACTGTTCTGACCGTGACCCACGGTCGTTTCTGGGCATTCCTCTCTGGTCCCTTTTGTGCGCATGTGGTATGGCGACCCGTCCACGTACCTCTGATGGGACGCGGCCGTCCAATGCCGAGAGGTTTCGCAGGGCGAGGGCTGCGAGCAAGGAGATCTGCTGGCCCGCGCCCTGCACGCGCTCGGCCAGCATGGTGCCTTGAGCAGCGCGGCCTCGGCCCTCGCACCTTCCGAGAGCCTCCTCGCGTTTCTTGACGACCTCTACGTCGTCACCAATCGGGACCGTGCCAGGGAGTGCCACGATGTGGTGGTTCACCGCATTGAAGACGAGTGCGGCATCGCTTCCAATGTGGGCAAAACCCGTGTCTACAGCCCGGCAGGGGGCCCGCCGCCACCCGGAATGGCCGAGCTGGGCACGGACGTGTGGCGTGGGGACCGGCCCCTGGCGGAATGCGGCTTGCTTGTGTTGGGCACGCCCTTCGGCCACCCGGAGTACGTGCGTGCCTGGGCAACGACCCGAGCACGCGAAGAGCGCAACCTGCTGGAGCAGTTGCCCCGGCTCCCGGACCTCCAATGCGCCTGGCTGCTCTTGGCCATGTGCGCGTCCTACGCCCAGTTGCACGACGATGCAGTTTGGGAGACCTTAGCCTCGTTGCTGGGAGGCCTTCCACAAAACGAAACGGACACGGCGCGCTCTTTGGCGGGGCTCCCAGCTGCGCTCGAGTGCTTGGGCCTGCAGTCGGTTGGCAAAGCCACGCGTCGCGAACTCGGAACCCTCACTTCCGCGACAGCATGCTTTTGCCATCCCTGCCGCCGCCGCCGCCTCTGCGCTTCTGCGTTCGCAGGCTGCGGGAGCCTGGCTAACGGCAGTGCCCGCTGAGCCCGCCATGACCTTGGAACCCCAAGCCATGCAGGTGGTGCTGCGCCGACGTTTGCGCCTCGCACTCCCGCTCCACTCCGACCGCTGCGGGCCCTCCCCGGGGTGCGGCGCACAAGTGGATGCTTTCGGGGAACACGCCTTGGCATGCACCGCGCAGCGGCCTCCTCGCCCGTCGCGCTAAGATAGTGGAACGGGCTTGGGTGCGAGTGGCTCGGGAAGTGGTTGGGGCGGACGGGCAGGACCTGGTAATCTACGGCGCCACGCCCCTTAGCGGCGCTGTGCTGCGACGCCACTTTGGTCTCCCTGCTGACCCGGACGGGCTTGCCGCAGCCCGGCGCCGTAGCGACGGACGGCGCAGTCCTGCGGGTAGCGGAGCGCCGCAAGTGCGAGGCCCGGAACTGAGCGCGGGAGGCCCCCAAAAACTGGTGGTTCTTGGATCCGAGGTGGGAGGACGGTGTGTCCGGAATCCGTGCGCAGCCGCGCTGCGACAAGCAGCCGCTTCGGCGTGGGCGCGGCGCTTGGAGCCAGCTGTCGGTGTCGGTCCAGCAGGCCGTCGCTAGCACGGCCTTGGGCTGAGGCTGCTCCTGGCCTGTGCCCCACCCCAGCCAGCGACTTGGGCCCGACCTGCACCAGGTCCTGCACCTCGCTGACGTGCCGGGCCCCAGCCGACTGCCGCTGCGCTGATGGCGCTGCCGCGCCTCCGGCGACTGCGGCTCCTAGCCGCTAGCGACACACCCATCGCAGCGGAGGAAAAAAGGTCCGAGAAAAAAAAATATTCTCCTCTTCGTTGGGCGGGTGTGGAGGAGGGGACGCTAACAGCTCAGACCAGGTCCCGGACGCAGTCAAGCAGGCGCGACGTAGGAGCGCAAACTGCAGGCCGCAGCTGCAAACGATAAGAAGGCAGACCAGCGCAGCACGTAGGCCGTGGTCGGCTGCCCCAGCGTGACCGTGCGTCCTCAGGAGAGAGCCTCTCAGGGCTTTGACAAAACAAAAGCCCTCACGAGCGGGGCAACATCTAAGATGAAACTGCACAACTCACCTCCTCTCTCCCTCCCTTTCCTTCCCTTTCCTTCCCTCTCCTCCCCTCTCCTTCCCTCTCCTTCCCTCTCCTTCCCTCTCCTTCCCTCTCCTTCCCTCTCCTTCCCTCTCCTTCCCTCTCCTTCCCTCTCCTTCCCTCTCCTTCCCTCTCCTTCTCTCTCCTTCCCTCTCCTTCCCTCTCCTTCCCTCCCTTTCTCTCAGTCTCCTTCCTCTCACAGTGATGCCTGCTGATTTGCTTGAGTTTTGCTTGTCTCTAAAGGGCAGCAAAAAAAGTTGTAGTAGTAGCAGTACCACCTAGCAAGTCTTGAGCAAGACGTATCAATCACGTGAAATTCATCAGACACATCTACCATCTTATGTTTGGTAGCCAGGTCCGTTTGCCGTCTCGTCATCCTCAATGCATTTCTACTGCCCCATGTTTTCACATTGCCTTTTCCCAGCTGGCATTGCAATGTTTCGACCTCGAACTGGCAACTGGTTTTCAAAACACGTGTCCGCACCAGGATTAGCCCCCGATTTTGTTCTATTGAAAAACCTTCACATGTGTGTCAACCACTTTATGGATATTATCTTCTGGCAGTACCTGCAACTTGACACCTCATGCTGGGTAGCTCAAGTCGCTCAGCTGAAGAATGGATGTCTCAAAGAGTCTCCGCCAGAAATGATCTGCATAGTGGTGGGTTCAGTGGATTCAAATTCCGTTTTTACTGGAGAATCACCCACATCCCTTTGAATGGAGCTGCGAAGATTCCAATCTGTCCCGCTGCTAGCTAGTCTGAGTGGATGAGGCCACACACCACCAAAAAAATGTATAAGGTTATACACCACCAAAAGATCCATGTTCAGCTGGAAGGTGCCTAACTTTTCAGCAACATGAAGTCAGAAGCACAATACACTTTTCCTGTCGCAAGATTAGCGGTAAAACCTTATGTGATGTAGGCCCTACTAGTTTTAGCAGAGCCTATTGAGCTTCATTGTTCAAACGGAGATGAGCTAGGAAGGTGAGACACTGGAGTGAAACCAATACATGAAGACATACGCAGCAAAGCACTTGGGGCAGAGCCACCACTCCGGACTACTTTCAATCTGAAACCACTTTGTGCTTCCGCAAGTTTGCAGCAATCTCAGCTGCGATTTCTACATCCGATTTTTCACGGCAGTCTAAGAACACCACACCTGGTTTGAAGACGCTAAGAATATAACTTTGAGCCAGATTGTCCTTGTCATATTTGTGGTTTGGGCCACCTGGTGGCTGAGGTGGGTAGGTGTCCTCAACCTTTAGTGGCAGAACTTTCACAAAGAGCTCGTAGTCAAGCGCAAATTTCAGCTCCTTGTGGGAGGAATACGCCGAAGCAGTCATCTCCCCATAGTGCTTGGTGCACACGGCCAGCATGGTGCCTTTCTCAGCATGGAGCCTTCCTAGATATTTGGTTGTCAAGTCTGCAAAGCTGTCTCCAGCATCTGCAGCAACCATCAGGATGTCGTATTTGCGGTCGCGGAGAATTTGGAAGACCTTGCGAAACTTCCTGAGAAACGGCGCCAGGCATCGCGAATAGATGTTGAATGATGTTTTCACAAGCACAAAAGAAAACAGGTGGGTCACTTGAAGAACATCAACTCTGCTCCTATTCTATTCGGGGGCGGAAGCTGCTGAATTTTGGAGCTATGAACCAGAAAACATGAAACATATGAAATGAAGCCTCTCAGCATCTGTTCTACGGGACCTCCATCAAATCTGGCAGAGAACATGGCAACCCGAGCGCCTTCCCCAGTTGGAATGTCGTTCCCTGCTGCGAGCGTGGGCTCCGGAATTGGCTTTGGTGTTGGAGTTGAGACAGGCTTGGCGCCAACTGGGGCTGAGCCAGACTGCGTCTGAGAAAGAAGCTTCAAAGCTTCATCTGCAGCTTCCTTCAATTTGCCTTTCCCATGCCTCACAAGAGGTTCCAAGGTTGTGACACCGCCAGCCTTTGTAATGGCTTCCTTGGCCTCCATATTGTTGCAAAGGTTGCGTAGTGCCCTGGCAGCCTGCCATTTGGCATCATCACTGCCAGTAACAAGCAATGCCACCAATGCTTCAGCCCCACCTCCTTTGCTGATGGCAACCCTGCTCTCTTCGGAAACGGCTGCCCAGTTTCCTAGCTCTTCTGCCACTTTGGCTTGCTCCTTCTTTCCGCTGTCCAAAGCTCGGATTTCAGCTTCCACCTCCTGCACACTCACGTTCCCTATCGGCTTCTGCTCCTTTGACAAAACCTCAAGGAACTTCAGAGCCCAACTCCGTCCTTCCTCGGACAACGATGCATCCTCACAAACGGCATGCAAGGCTTCAACTCCACCGGCGCGCACAAAAGCCTCGCAGTGCTTGATGTTCTGAGCCAAAACTTGGTTCATCTGTCCCAGTAACCCTCTTCGAAATTGTGTCTCTACATCTGAATTGACAGCTTTCACCAGGGCCAGCAAGGCAGGAAGGCAACCTGAAGCTACGAGGGCCTCCTGGTGCTTGGGGTTGTCATATGTCAAGTTGTGCAAAGCTTGGGCAGCGATTTCCATCGCATCATGGTTGCTGCTGGAAACCATGTCTACCAATGCAGGAATACCACCTGCGGCTCTAATCTTTTCCGGTTTCTTCTTGTTCTCATGCATCATCTTTATCAAAGTCTCTGCAGCCAATTGTTTCACACTATCGCTGCCAGATGTCACCAGCGCTACCAAAGCAGGAACCTTGCCATCTGCGGCTGCAATGGCCTCTGCAGCAGCAAGGTCCTTGGGCAAGCGCCTCAACGCTGCGTGAGCATGGTCCTTGGCCCGTCTGGATGCCTTCTTATCCTCAGTCAAAGCCTCCAGAGCCGGTATTCCACCATCACGCAAGATGTGGGCCTTGTGCTTGTCGTTGCGTGCCAACCAGTCCAAAGTATGGGCAGCTTTCTCCCGGAGATCATTGTTGCCGTCAGAGAGCAGTGCTACCAATGGAGGAATGCCTCCTACCTCGACGATGACCTTCTGAACGTCAGAGTGCTCAGCAAAACCCAAAAATTCCAGAGCAACCACCTGGCTATGGGTCAACATAATTAACAAAAACATATGTTGGAAATGCTCACACTGCATGGCAATCGAACAGCTATGGAAAATTCACCATGAGAGTTGATTATTTGTGTAAATGAAACCATGGGATTTTCCATTCGCGAACGGTTAGAATCCAGGTTATTATGAAAAATGGGCCAATCACTTGTGGACATTGTGGCTTGGTGCCTATCGGCACCTATAGGTGCCCCAGTGTTGACACCCCATTCCCACCTTCTTGCGTGCCTCAGCTGAGCTGCTCAACACCTGGACGGCCTTCTCGATCTCATCGGAGGACAGGGGCATGGCCGCAGCTGGCCGCACGGCATGTGCTGCCACAGCGAGCCGCAAAAATTTCAGGTGCTTTGCAACTCTCCAATTCTTAAGCTAGCTTCTTACATGCATGGTGATGAGAAAATAGATGGATGTTATGGACATGGAGTATTCCCCCATTCCCAACCTGAAGCACCAATAGGTGAAGTCTCATGGGTCAAGTCATGAAAGGGGTACCAATGGACCCATTTTGGGGTCAACGATTTGGAGGGTTGGTCATTTTGAATCATCTACCATCCAAGTGCCTAGTTGTATGCGTCAAGTTGGGGTATGATTATATTATTACTGTATTGTTACCAGCGGATAACCCTGAACGATCATTTTCTTGAGCCACGGCGAACGAGTGAATACGACTTGTGTTTTCCAGTAACTACACCCCCCACGCAACTTAGTGCAACGGTAGAGGCGCTCTTTTCCGTTAGCTGGAAGGACACGCAAAAGTAAGTTCGCCTAATCTACACTCCACTGACCAGTAGTGAATTGACACCACCCGCCAGGGAATTGAGGAACATCTACACTCTAAAGAAAGGCTGGCTACCGGCTTCTACTGCTCAGCAACCAACTCGTCAGAGCGGTGTTCGAGTGCGAAGCTTGCACATCAAAAGTAAGACGAGCCACGGTGGATGCACGAGCACAACGCTAAAAGGGCATCCGGCTCTCCCGAGCGGAGGTCTTTCCCTCAGTAACGGCGAGAGACTTCTCCTGTGAAAGGATCAGCAACCTGATTTTCCCAGCCGTTGAGGAACCAGATCACGTTCTCGTAATCGTAGACGACCACTCGATTGAGCTGTCCAAATGCTGGAATGCAGTTTACGACCTCTTCCTCCTGAATGTAGTGCTGGTCACGTGCATAAAGCATTGCCCAGTAATACCCTTCAAGCCGACTATACCGGGGAAAACGCGGCTCCTGCCCGTTGATCTCCTCACCGTTGATGTCGTAGGGAAAGGTGAGGCCAATGGGCGTCCGAGCAGCTGCGTGAGTTCGTCCAGCCTGGTCTCGATCATACGATCAACCCTCTCACGGCGCGCACGAAGCCATTCACCCTCCGTCTCGGTAGGGTTGGTGGGCTCAACTCGTCTGCGTGAGGCAGCAGGCTGGGCTTGCTGGCTTGATTGCCGCCTTGATGCCGGAGGTCTTGGAGTAGCAGAACGCATTCTCGGAGGCATCGCTTTGCTCTTCGGCTTTCCGCGATGTGCGCCATACGCCGATGACGATCGAGTCCTCTCACGAGTGGGGTCACTGGCTCCCGCCGGATGCTGTCTTGACGGGGAAACCGATGCCATTCCATATCGTCTCGTCGAAGATGATCTCGGTCCATCCCTTCCGGGAGGAGGAGGTGCGCGCATGTCGCCCGCAGACCTCGCCCTCGAGGCTCTGACCCATTCAGGATCATAGGTGGACCTGGCAAGACGCCTATCGTAGAAGCGAGTATCACGTAGGACTTCATTGAGCTGCCTTTGGCCCATTGAGGCAAACCCTTCCGGGATGCGAAGATTCCCCAGCATAGTAACCTCGGTGGGTGCTGGGTCGTCGTGCGTTCCCGCAAAGTTGAGTTGGACTTTGAAAAACTCTGCCAATTGGGCGGCAAGCTCGGTGACCGATGCAGGCTCCGGAGAGTAGATTTCGCCATCAACACTGAGAATCGAAAAAGGAAACTTTTGGCCAAAGTACGTCTGCTGTGTGGCATAGATGAGCATGGCCGCCTCGTCAAGGATGTAAAGCCTGGAAGAGAACGCAATGAAAAATGCTCGATTCAAGATGATCTCGGTGTCACCACGCATCCATGCGACGCTAAGGCGACCATCGGCTGCGAACTCTCTGCGACCACGCGCATCCCCTCCAGACGCGGGATTGTGAAGGCGCAAACAACTCAAGCTGGGCGAGGCTGCCGATGTCAATGCCTTTCGACACGTAGTTGTACGCATCAAGGGGCTCGTCGAGCAGCTCCAGCAAGTGATCACCTCCACCACGTTTTGCGAAACTTTTCTTCATGGCCAGACACTTTCCTCTGACTGCCGCCGGGAGACTGATGCCATCATCCTCACGTTCTATAAACTAGTTGTGCTTGCTAGCGGTATAGCCGGAGGCTTCAAAAGGCAGCGAGCTTCGCTCCACGCTTTGTTTTCTCTGGAGTGCCGGAAATCCTCACCAACATCCACTCGAGGAAACAGCTAACGATGCACAAAGAAGGTTGATGGGTGGGACCATATTATCCCACCCATGACAGACCGAAGCTGAACTTGACCAACACAACCAAAAAAAACGGTAAATGATTTAGGCGCACACCACATCTCTCCGGTCATCAGCAACATGATGCAAAGTAGAAAGTGGCCTGTACGGAGTAGACATGACCAGCCAGCTTTTTTGGCCGCCCATACGACAACATGACTGTGCAAATGTGAACCGAGAAGTCCATATGGACCTGCTGCAAAAGAACTGCCCTACAAGTGAGACTGCCTGGTGATACTGCTTTTTTGCTACGGCCCGCCCCGAGAGCCCACTTTCTTGTAACGAGGTCTTGAATGTTCTTCTGGCCAGTGCCGGTGAGACGAGGGCCCCAAAGCCTGGGGTGGGTGGGTGTGGAAAAAATTTGACTTTCTCGCTAGCAAGCACCACTCTAGAGCCAAAATGACGCACGAACATAGTTTATAAAACATACATGAACAAGTACATGATACGTTCTATAAACTAGTTGTGCTTGCTAGCGGTATAGCCGGAGGCTTCAAAAGGCAGCGAGCTTCGCTCCACGCTTTGTTTTCTCTGGAGTGCCGGAAATCCTCACCAACATCCACTCGAGGAAACAGCTAACGATGCACAAAGAAGGTTGATGGGTGGGACCATATTACCCCAAACCAAACTACCCAGCAACCTCGCCCCAGAAAAACCCCAAACCTATGTGAGGTTGTTCGGCACTCCCCTGCTCCGCACAGACCATGGAAGGTGAGCCCCTTCGGGGAAGACAGAAATTTGTGGACGAGGCAACCAAAGTGCCTCGAGTGACAGCCGCACTCTGTCCTTTTCAAGGCAATCAGGGGGAATCTCATATTCAGCAGGACGAGATAAGGCATCCGCCTTCACGTTGCGTTCCCCAGAGATGTGTGTCACATCCAGCGTTGTTCTATGTACAGCTGCTAGCAAAGAGATCCTTTCTAGGAAAAAACAGAGAGGCCGAGCGGTGGAGAAGGAAGCGTTCACACCTGCTTCTGCACCTGTGTTATCTGATGCGGAACGTAGTTGCAAGGGGATTCTGGCGCAAGGTAAAAGAGAAGATGTTGCCAAGATCAGCGCTCCTTGGGCGAGCGCTTCATAGCAAGCAATATCAAGCTGCATGTCTGCTTGCACAGGAATCTCAAGGGCCCTGAAGGCACTGTAGGGAAAACTTTCGCGAAACCAACGCTGGCCTATCGTGGGGTGAGAAACGTACCCACCAATGCAACACATCGAGCCATGCGCACTTGCATCTGCTCGTGCCTCAAAGGATGCATTGCCTAAGGGGCGCATGCTGCAAAATGGGCACATATGCAAAAGCCAGTGTTCAAACAAACCCAAAATGCGCACTGACTCGGGGCTCAACTTGCGCTTTGAGCTTGATTGACTTGACACGCGCATCCAAACCCGCCTGTCTGTAATGCGCACTCGATCCAAGTCAGACAAAGTTGACAAATCCTGATGGCGAACTGACAAGAGTGTGCTGTGGAGCGGAATTGCTGTACCTGGAGGGACTGATTTGAACTGCAGGGAGTCCGTCAAGTGATAACGAAGCTGTGGCCAAACATCTGGGGCCACCGAGTAGTTGGTAGCAGCTGGGCTAAAAAGGTCATGATAGAAGGTGTACAAAAGCGACTTCATTGTCGGGAAAAGGTGCGCAGCCCAAAGAGCGAGCCCGACAAACCTCTCCAAATCCTTGCGTGAAATTTTTGGATTACGCTGAAGATCTTGAACCATCCCCAAAAGTTTTAACCGTTTCTCCTCTGCAAGCGAAACTACCCCGGAGGTGTAACAAAAACACCACCCTATCCAATGAACTCGAGAGCTGACTTGAAGTTTCTTCCAACTCAAAGGTACCCCCAGAACCTGGAGGAAAAGGCAGATCATTGCCCCTGTTGCTGGCAGGACGCCTTCCGCCTGAGAAAACAAGTAGTCGTCCACAAACAAGTGGCCTGCATGGCTGAACCAAATCAAGATATGTAACAACCGAAGGAGGCAGGAGCCTAAGCGCCCCCACCAATGCTGTGCAAAGACCGCCCCGAATGGGGCCACGCGATAGAAGTACAGGGAATCTGCAAAAGCGAAACCTAGGAGACCTTGCTCTGACTCCTTGACAACACAGCGTTTGTGAGCACTTTTGACATCAAGAGATATGGCAGCTTGCCGCGAGCGAGTGCCCCGAAGGGGAAAACAGTGCATCACGTCCCTCACTGATGGCATGTGCTGGACTTCCGGAACACTGCAACTTGCATTCGTGCCACAAACTGAGTTATCTAAGACCAACCTTTCCGATCGATTTGGCGCACGGACCACTGATAACTTCCCTATCGCCAGTGCACCCGGCCATTTAGCTTTAGCAGCTTCAATATCGCCATCAAACTTGAAGCAAAACCCCTGATCAATTTCCTCCTGCAGCAAAGCCTGAGTCACTGACGGATCGACTGAGGCCGAGCGCCAATTCTGCATGTGGATGGAAAGAGATACATCCTCCAGGTTCTCCTTCTGATTCGGCCAAAAACAATTTGACACCGGGATATCGTTGTTATACCCTGTAGGGACGCCTTGCAAAAGGGATTTGCAAAGACTCACATCCGGATCACCACAAAAACAGGCAAGTGCCTCAAGCGCATGCAGATGCAAAGGTTGATGCTCACGGACCTCCCATGTATTTGCATCCGTCGCCACACCTAGGCAGGAGAAGAACTCTTTGCGCGCATCTTGCACCTCCAGTTCGGAGAAAAGGGGCTCAGGATTAGGCCAAGTGGCTTTAGCAAGCAGGCGTTTGGGGCCTTGCATGTCACAAACTTTCCCCAAAAGGTATGTCCTAAGATTTTTTAGCTTATCCTGACTTAATGGAGTGCTCCAATCCCCACAAGAGTGGCGACCTGCCCCATCGTGGATCACCCACGGTCCAACGTCCAGGGCCTTGACAGGTACCAAAGCCGATGCTGTGGCAAGGGTGTGTTCGATCTGTGCACCTGCAAGAAGCGGCCTGATGTGCAACGCGAATTCGGCAGCCAGGCATTCAGGGTATTTAGCAGTCTTACGGCTTCTGAACGAACCATCACTCTCACGTCCCTGCACGGACTCGTGAGCATTGCGTCCGTGTTGACACGTCTGCCCCATCACCGAGAGGGCTTGAAAGCTCGATGCAAACAGCCAGGTTTTTGCCCAGTTCTCCCCAAATGCACAGGCTGGGAGAACAATGAGAGCTGTGGACCCACAATGCAACCAGCCTTGAACGCAGGCTTCATCCCAGGACATGGCACCTGATGGTTGCTCCAAATGGCCATGGCCCCCGGCCCCATGAACTACTTGAAGACATTTGCATGCCCTGAAAAGCATCTCGTGACTTGTTTGTATACGAGCCTGAGCTGATGGGTGCAAATTTTCCAGGCCCCCTAGCTGGGTTGGGGTGCGGATGGCAAAAGGCGGACCTCCAAAGAGCTTCAGTCGGGAGTATTCTGAGCAGCAGGGAGATGCCGCACAATACCCCACAACCCCTGAGCCACAGATGAACAACAGTTGCTCGAAAAAGGTATTATCGAGAATGTCCATGCTGCTATCCAACAGGATATCAACTGCCAGTGTTGGGAACCCTAACTCCTGCACTGCTGATGACAGAGGCTTCTCCGCACCCGAACAAATGTCCAGGAAGATCCTTGAAGACTGCTGCAGCGCTGAGTGATTCAGGACGGGCGAAGATGGTGGTGGCCGAGGCGTTTGGGGCTGCAGGATCAAGCTGTGGTTAACAAACCCCTTTGGAGAAGGTTTTCCCCAATTGACCCCCGAAGAAGGAAGTGGCTCCTGGGTGGGGGGGCAATTTACAGGTTTAGGGGTCGGTGCCGGGGGGATGTTCCGTGGCTGGGGCCAAGGGAATCCGAGATCTCGAAGTGTATCGCCTGACACACCTGGGAGGGTAAAGGCCGTCAGCACCCAGCGATCACCAAGCCATGGTTGGGTGCAATGCCACAGGTGCACTGGGAACTTAAATGGCTCATGATGCGTTCTGACGATCTTCCCCATGAGAGTCACCCCAAGCTTGGGAATGAACTGAGGCACGGTACCTGCTTGATCCTCTATCCAAAGACCTCCATCCGAGTACGAACCTATACCCACTGTCAAGTTTGACGACCCCGGCAAATTTGCTGTGTCCTTGTGCGGGGACGTCAGGATATTCCTGCTGACACACAAGGCATTCCAGGTCTCACCTGGGAACAGTTGGCACAGGAAACCATTAAGGTTTGCACACAATTTTGGCAGTGCATCTGTAACTGAAGAGCGGGCAGAAGGATTCCCTATGCGCACCCCAAAGTTCCAGTAGCCCGATTCCCCCGGAGCCGCTGAAGTAACGCTCCTGGCGGGAAGAACGCGTGGAGGCCAAGAGGCCGACAGTAACGCCTGAAGACAGGACTGGAAGTCGTGTATGCATGAAGAACTTTCTTCTGCCACGTGTGTAACACCCACCTGCCCGGGTGTTACTGCATCACTGGAAGGACCAGGTGTGTTGCTTACGACTTGACCCAACACGGGTTGTGAAGGAATGTTGCCCCGAGGACATTGCATTGCTGGCAACGACACAGGCCCAGCATTTCGCTCCAACAAGGAGGCCGATTTGGGAGTGACATGTACGGGCTCGGATGGCCGAGCTGCAGGCTGGACATCATATCCAGCAACACGGCTTGCACCTGCCTGGTGCTTCGCTGCATGAGGCTGTGATGGTGATACTGACATACAAGACGATGAAGGGTTTGAATGAACCGGCTCAGCATGAGCGTGCAAAGAAAGCGGGGCAGCTGGGGGTGATACTTCTGTAGACGGCATATCTGAATTCGGGGATTTCTGCAACGGCCCAGGGATTGGGGCGAATCAGTGAGGCGTCTGCTCATGCTGCGAGGCTGTGTGCGACTTGCTCCCGCACGCTGATCCATCCTGCTTGGGGTATGCACATGCATGAACAAAGGGGCAGGAGCCCCCCCTTGTGCAACGTCCAATCTGCCACTGGACACACAACCCTTTCTTCTCGGATCCTATCTGGATTTCTTTCACGAAGGTGATGTGCCTCCCTGGAGCGCCCTTGGGCTTACCGCCCTTGTCCTTGCCACGGCCCTTGCCCAGGCCTTTCCACTGACCGACCTGCTTGCCCTTGCCTTTCAGATCAGGGCCGCGGGGGATGAACAAGGCTTTCGGACGAGCCTGCAACAAGGTGCTGAGCTCACCTCTAATTTCTGTGAACTCATGCAACGCATCATTCAAGCTCCAGGCTTTCTCACTGACCAAAGAGTGGATGCTCTGCCAAATCCGACAATCTGCCTGCTGCGCTTCTAGAATTGTCGGTGCACGCAGTCCTGATGCTGGGTCGAAACGCTGGGACACGAGTTGGACAAACTTGCAGCTATAGGCTTTGAGGCGGGCAAGGTGAGCTGAGCCAACCATGGCTAATGCCACGTCATGCACTGCCAAGATCCGCTGGATACCACTGATCCCCATATTGGCATCGGTCACTTCGATTGTAGGCGGATCATCTAAGAGCAAGCTGGAAAGACCCAGCATTTCGAGCTTGGGCTGTTTGTGGGGTCGGGCAATCAACAACTCCGAAGCTTTCTCTTCCGTCATGCGATGTTTCCAAGCTATCCATTTATACTCCGACCGTGCCTCTTGATGGGCTGCGAGGGAAATCAGCCTCAAAGAAGGTAGAGTAGATGGATTCAAAACCTCACTTGGGTAATTTGCAAGGAATTGGCGCTTCATGTCGGACAGCTTCGTGGATGCGAGTTTGGGAGCAAAACTCTCTACCCATGTCTCCAAAGTAGGATCTGCATTGACTGGGGCTGGCGAAACTGCTAAACTTCAAGTCGCTCTTTTTCCTTGAACCAGTAAAGGCGCTGTCGGTAAAACATGAGTCACAAATCCACACATGCTCATCAACCCTTTGGGTTGGTAGGTGGGGTTCCCAGGTAGTAGAAAAACTTTACACCCCGCCTTGATGTTGTGCGAACTGTAAGCTCAACATCACTCTACAGTAACGGGTTTGTAGAAACTGTACAGGTATGTCGTTGGGCTCATCTGGTATTGTGCGATGGCCTCGTTGTGCTCTCCCTATTGGAGTCCTTGCACTCGGTGAAAACTGTTCCCACTGCTTCCTCGTGGGTAACACTTCGCTCAGGTAAGCTTGTACTCGTTGTAGCTCACACTGTACGGAAAAGTGAAACATTCCATCATTCACTCACATGGTCCCGGGCCTGCAATTGCCACAAGGACGGTAGTGCAATCTCGCATGCACTGCTGCACTGTAAGTGAATCTCTCTGACCTTTGCACATCTGCACATGTAGGTCGGTGGTACCTCTTGCCATGAGGCGTGTACACATAATGGGGTTGTGCTCGTAGCTGTTCGTCCACATCCTGTGCCATAGGAATGATATTAACCATTCCCCATTCTTGAAATCGCCTTGCAAGCTCTTCGTCATTCACATGGATTTGGCTTGCTGGTACTGTACTGATTCCAGGCATCCCATTACCACTGCCTGTCGCTGAATCCTCTGGTGCATCACGGAAATACATATTGACTGCCCTTGCTGTACGTTGAACATCATCCTCATCGGGCGGACAATACTTTTGCACAAATCTTCGAATAGTGAATTCCTCCTGCGGTTCCTGTGGTCCTTCTTCCTGCGGTTCCTGTGGTCCTTCTTCCTGTGGCTCCTGTGGTCCTTCTTCCTGCGGTTCCTGTGGTCCTTCTTCCTGTGGTTCCTGTGGTCCTTCTTCCTGCGGTGCCTGTGGTCCTTCTTCCTGTGGTTCCTGTGGTCCTTCTTCCTGTGGTTCCTGTCGTCCTTTGATCACCTTCTGCTCGATCATGTAGAACAAGAGTAAAGCGAAAATTCCTCCTAGTAGCACACTGAAAAGAATAATCCATCCACTCACTTCCTTCACATAGATGAAAACAAATTCTCGTTCTTCTCGTTCTCGTCCTCCAAAATCGTCTGGTTGTCCTGCAATCTGAGAAATCATATTCACCATCATTGTCAAGTACATCGCTCTAGCCGTCTTGCTTCCTCGCTCACTCAACAAAGTTGCACGTAGTGCTCGAACTTGGCTTCGGCAAACTTCACCTGCCACATGTTCCATTGCTTCTTCTTTCCCATAACGCTCATGACTTTCTCCATTCCACACCATGGCTCCAATATGGTACATGAGAAATCTCCTTCGAGATACTCCTAAGCGTTTTGTATTCAAGTCGGCAATGTTTAATTTGGTAGGCACTGGCTTTGCTTTGAAGCTGTTGTTCTTCACCCCTCGCTGAAGCCATAATACTCTCAGATCGATATGTTTGAGTCCTCCGACTCCTGTTCGCATCATCCATTGTCTTCCCGCACTTGAATCCATCCGGATCTCCACGAGTAACTTTCCTGCAAGAAACATCCACAACTTCTTCAGTAACATCGCTTCTGATGCTCCTCCTGAGCATGCTAGCACTTCGGACTCTGCCGAACTTAAAGCTGTAGCTTTCTGGGTCCTGCTATACGAAAGTACTGGCACTGCATTCACACACACAATCACTGATGATGTAGACCATCTCGCTTCACGGTCTGATGCCCAATCTGCATCCGTGAATACTTCCATACTGTGTGTTCCTTTCTTTTCTTCGTCTTCTTCTTCTTGCTCTTCTCTTTGATAGATCGCATCCATCATCTTGTTTCCAACCTTTGTGTACTTCAGTAGGAATCCCAGTTGCTCTGTTCCTTGCACATAGAGCAAAGCTTGTTTCAAACAGGTTAACGCTTGTTCCGTTGGCTTCGACATCTTACTTGCCAAACACTTCGTCACATGCTGTAAATCCCATCGGTCTTGAGAAATGTACAACAGTGTTCCCAACGCTGAACGAAACTTCTTGCACTCGTTCTCCTCCAGTTCTTTGGAATTGTCCACTGTTCCAATCAGCTGGTGCTCTGGGGTTTGTCTTGGCTTTCGGTTCCCCAGCTTGTAGAGTCCTTTAAGCTTCTCGTAGTGCTTCTTCGACACTGTCACCAAAATTCCTTCTTCAAGGAACTCATAGGTCCTCTTCAGGTAATGAAGCTGTTCTCCCGATCCCCGGTGGGATGGGAACGGTCCCTCAACTGTGAGCTTGAAAAACTTCTCTAGCTCGCATATCAGCCATCTTCCTTCGCCTTTCGCACCTGCAACTAGCTCGTCGTCGACATGAATCGACACTGCAATCTTCTTCACTCGGTGCTTCAAGATTGAGGGTATCCCAACAAATTGCTCAAATCCCAAACGCTTCAAAATCTCAACCAAATGGGTAAACCATTGTTCTGCCGCTGATCTTTGCCCTGGCAGACACTTCTCCACTTTCCATACGTGGTCTTCATCCAAACCAAGTAGTGTTCGAATCCACGGTGAGATATCAGCATACATCAGAGCTTTCTGCTTGACTTGCAAGAATGCGTCACGAATGTCAAGAACTGTAAGCTCCCAGTTGTAGATGAGATGAAAAAGAAACATCATTCGCACTGCTGCGTGTCCTGACGTAGGACTAAAAGTCTCCTCCGTGCTCTGGGCTCCCGCACGGAATTCCCGACACACAATTCTGCATCTACGCTTCCAAACTCCATCTCTCTTTCTCCAATCGAAAACTGTCCTTAGTGTCAGAAACTTACCTTCCTCTGAACACTCTTCCTTCTTGATCGTCTTCACAACCTTCATGTTGGCGAGTTTGTCAAGTTCAGCTTTTCCTGCCTCTGCATCCAATCTTTCAAGTTCCTCTTCGCTGACTTTCGGTGGTCGATCCTCATCTTCTTCTTCTCCTTCACTATCCGCTTCATATTCCTCTTCGCATTCCTTCCAGACTCTTTCTTCCCAAAGGTCATCTTCATGATATCCTGTTTCGTCTTCCTGTTCTTCTACCTGTCCGGCGTACAACGGTGGAAATAGACTTCCTTTCGGACTTCCAGGATCAGCACTTGTAGGTGAACTTTCCGCAGTCTTTTGTTGCTTCGTTGGTGGCTCCTCAGCATCTGCTGTTTTACTAGCTTTCGCAGGTTCCTCTCTTTCTTCTCCTTCAGTTTCTCTCTTTTGTCCCCCGCCTTGGTTGGAATCCGTTGATGAACTTCGAGGTGTAGGTTGACCACTGCTCAGCAATAGATCACTGATTGTGTCATGCTTTGAACTTTCCACATCAGATCCTGCTTCATCTCCTGCTGGCTCTGGCTCATTTTCTCCTCCTTCTTTCTCTTTGCCTGGTTCTTCCACGATTCTCGGTAACGGTGCCGCATGCGCGGTGTGCCCTAGCCTTGGGGCTTTCTTCGTCCAAGGAGAACCCTGAAGTTGAAGGGTCTCACGTGCGCGCCACGCTGGTTGTGTGCGCCGCACAGATCTTGACGTAAAGATCCCATCTTTTGATGTAATCACGTCCATGTCCCGGTCGTCCTTTCCAACCCATATTCCTCCTGTCCACAAGGATCGATTCTTCACTCCTCCAGGCTTGGCCAGACCAAACACATACTCTCCGAAGGGTAAAATCTGCCCTTGGTATGGTCTCCCGTAGACCAATTGGAAAGCTGTACTCTGCGTCCCTGAGTGTAGGTGGTACCTGTTGAACAACCATGCTGCGTGGTGAATTGCCCACGCTCGTAAAGCATGATCTTCAGGAATCTTTTCCCCAATCCGATCCTCGACCATTTCAATCATCGTGAGGCTTTGTCTCCTGAGGTTCTGAATGTGGCGTTCCACTCTCGCTGTTCTTCCTTTGTGGTAGGGCTTGTTTGGATACTTTCCAGCCTTGTAGCCTAACTTTTGTCGTATTGCTACAATCAAATCCAGTAAGGCTGTTGTCGCTGGCTCCACATCAATCGCAAACAGAACTTCTTCGGAAATGTAGTTCATCTCGAGAGAAAACTTCACCACTTTCTCGGCCAACTTCTTCGTCGGTGCTTTCCCCGGCACTGGAATCGCCCACGAAAATCGAGTCCATGAATCAAGAATGATCAGACTCACACTGTTCTGACCCATGTACATGAAGTCCATCTGGATCACTGGCTTTCCTGGGTCTTCATACTTTGCTTCACTGCTTTGTGGGGTATGGTCCTGTTTCGACTTTGCTGCTGCACAGAAATCACACCATGGTTGCATTGGCATGTGGGTTGCCATATGCTCTTCAATCTCTGCTTCTGTCGGTTCGGGCACTCCGGGTCTTGTTCTTGCTTTGGGCCTTTGCTTCCTCAGCCTGTCTGCAACTTCTTCTGCGTCCTCATCTCTGTCTTCGGTGAGGTAGTTGCACAGTCTCCTGAACATCTTCACCTTTGACCCTGAGACGCTCAAACCCAAATACCGACAACCTTCTCGCAGCTTCTCAATCTCACTCGTTGCTGTGAGTGACTCTCCATTCACCACAATAGTACTTCCCATGTCGAGTTCCAACTCTTGGTGTCCTCCTGCCTTTCCTTGCTGCTTCACAACTCCTTTCGGCACTGGCACCTGCAACTCTTCTGGAGCTCCTCTTTCTCTTCCAAACCATTCTGGCTCCTCTTCCATCTTCTTTTCTTCCTCCTTTGGTGCTTCTTCTGGTGCTACCTCTTCTACCAAGCACTTGTCCAGATACTCTGGTGTCCTGTGCAAGAATGTGAGAATTTCTGATCGAAAAAGCAATCCCGGTATTCGATCTTCCAAGTCGGATTTTCGCTCGAGCAATTCCGTTGCTTCAATCACTTCCCATTCGTTGCCCACCTTCACGATGGTGGTCCTGTACTTCCAAGTACCTGTCGGCGGCTTTACAAACTCAAGTCCAAAATGGCGATGGACTGGCGTTCCATTCGGTAGAAGGCTCCAATCCTTCTCTGGGACTTTACCAAAGTCATAGGCCAAAGTCACCTTGACTGCCCTGACTTGCTCGACTCCTCTAACTTCCGCTGTCAATCTCAAGCTATTCCTCTGGTATTCCACAGGCACCCGTGCCTTACCATCGGGAGATACAAGTTCCCCCGCCTGGGTTTCTTCTCCCCAGGTCTCGCCCCCCTGGCGCTGTTTGCATCCCACTGACACAAACTTCCATCCATTTTTGAGTAGCCTTCCTAAAGACAGCAAGATGTTATTGGTGTCCGACAACACAAAGTCCTCAGTCACACTGCAGCTACTGAACTGCAAAACTGCTCGCCGCATACCTTCAACTCGCATCGCACCCCCTTGTGCGTCTTGCAACCTCAGAGAGGTTGGGGTCGAAACTTCGACGCCTGCATCCGACAATCTTCGTGGTAACAAACTCACATCTGCTCCTGAATCCAAGATCACCACATGTTGCTTTGTGTCCAACTGGACCATTCGCACATTGAGAGGTTCCGATCCTCCCTGACTCAGAGGTTCCAATCCTCCTTGATTCAGAGGTTCCAATCCTCCTGGAGGTCCCAATCCTCCTTGAACTCTTTCCAAGCTGTTTTCATACCATTGATACAGCTCATCACTCTCATGATCTTGTTTGTTCTCACTCTCATCCCCGATGTAGTAGCACTCTGGTCCTTGCACCTCTATCCTTCTGGTGAACCAATCACCTTCTTCTTCTGAAACTTCGCTAAGCTCATAGTGCTCTGTGCCGTCAGGTGGTGTGTTCGCAATGTGATGGAAATCAATGTTCCTCACTCTCCTTATCCTGTATTGGCTCGCACTCTGCGACGGAGTAACAGACTCGACTGTCGAGTGGGGTACCTCGGTGCTGGCCTCGCTCGCCCGCACTTCTCGAACATTGCGGTTTGGACACTCGTTTCCCCAATGTCCTCGCTGCTTGCAGAATCGGCAAACATCTCTGTCCAACTTCTTTCCTCCACCTTTCTTTCCTCCTTTGCCATGCTTTCCACCTTTCTTTCCGCCTTTCTTTCCTCCTTTGTGGAAACCTTTGCCTCGTCCTTTCTTTCCTCCTTTGTAGCTTCCTTTTCGTCCACCTTTTCTCCATTGGCGAAATCCTGCTCCAAAGCTTGACCACGAGTAGGATCCTTTTCCTCCTTTGTTTCCTTTGTTGCCTTTGTTTCCTTTTCCTCCTCCTTTCTCGTACACTGCATCCACTTCCATTGGTGCTGGTCCTTGATCTGCATTCGAACTGCTCGCTGTGTTCTGCAAGGTCTTTTGCTTCAACACCGTCTGGTAATCCCAAGTTTTGCTGCTTTGCTCGTATGAAAGAATCGCTTGCTTCACTGACATGTAGTTTGTTCCTTCGGGCATTGTCAAAGTAAGGTGGTCTCGAATCGCCCTCGGTGAACATCGAAGCAAAACTCCCATCAACAAATCTCGATCGTAGGTCTTTCCTGAAGCGATCTCGTACTCCCGAACAAGGTTTTCCAGTGAACCAATCTGCTCCACCATGCTCTTGCCCCCATCGAAGTTGGGAAACATCCCAATCGCTTGACTGAGGGTTAGAGCTCGTTGTTTGGTGGCTGGTTGGTATTCCCAAAGCAAACTTTGATAGAGACGATACCCACATCGCTCCCTGCTCCTATTTCGAGACAGTTGCGTTGCTGCTCCCCGCATATACGAAGTCAGTATGTGGTAAAGCTTTGTCGAAAGTTCTCTCTCCACTGTAGTGAGAGTCGAAACATCGATCGGCGTTGCTCCCAGACTTTCAATCATACTTAGAGCTTCTGAGTACTGCGAATCGGCAAAACCTAGCCAATTCAGAAACTGATGTTTCCAGGTTGTAAAATCCGGTGGATGCTCTCCCGAGGCTTGTGGGTTCCAAACATCTGGTGCCTTGATCGCCTTTGTCGCACTTTCAATCCTTCGGTTCAGATCATCCGAACTGCTTGCTTGTTGCTCCAACCTTTGTAGCGCACTCATTCCAACTTGGGTCGCCCTTGTCAATGCAGTCAGAATTTCAGAAAGTTCTGTGGGTTGTTGGGGTGGTCCATTCTGCTGCATCCCTTGCACTGCAGAAAACTGTAACACGACAAGCACACACAGCATCGCTCCTCTCTGTTGTTTTCTCACACAAGCACACGAACGCAAGTGATCTCTCCGTGCCCCTCTGCTCAAGCGCCTCCGAAAACATGAATGTTGCAATCTCCACAAACATGACTGACGACATGACTGCAAGTGCACTGTCGCTTGCAAACATCCAATGCACAACATGATCGCACCTGATACTCCAAGCATAAGCATCATTGCCATTGCTCCATTGTAATCGAATTGCATAGTCTTGGGGTCGTAGAGGTTCTTTGCTCCTGGAATACTGGTCCAAATCCACATCACCAATGGATCTCTTGTTCCATTCATAGTCTTGTCGGAGTAGAGGCTCTTGTTTGTACATAGGCCATAGAATTTTGATTCCTCCTGGTAGTCGATCTCTGTTTTCTCCTCCTGGTAGTCGATCTCTGCTTTCTCCTTCTGGTAGTCGATCTCTGCTTTCTCCTTCTGGTAGTCGTCCTGACCAATCTCCCCATTCATCTTCCTCATTTCCAGGGTTTGGCTCCTCGCCCCTTTCTCGCATTCTCCTCCTTTCTGCTCTCCTCCAAGGAGAATTCGGGTAGAGCGTAGTGGCTTGCGTTGCTCCCCCTCGCTTCGGTGGTGGTCCCTTTGGCTCTGGAGGTGGCGCCTTGCTTCCAGCAGGTCGTTCCTTCGGAGGTGGTCCTCTGGAACTGCTCCCTGGCTCATTTCTCGCATCTTCCATCCTGGGTTGTAGGGTCCCAGGTCCCGTCCTGGGTTGTAGGGTCCCAGGCCCCGTGTCTCGGCTGGAACTCGCTGTTCCACTGCTTTGGCTTCGCTGGCCGTACCTGGCTCGAAAGTATGCAACTCCACGAGCAAATTCCTTGGATTCCCTGGCTCTTGCTTCGTCTCCTGAAGGAATTGCACCGGCACGTCTTGCAGCATACTCTTCCTCATTCCGGCGGATGTGTTCCGCCACTGCTGCGTTGCTGGGTTCCCCGTCCAGCGTGTGAAGAGGAAGCTTCGTACCACTCGGCATTGGGTCCGGAGGTGGACACTCTGGAGCTCGTTCTTCTCCTGGCGGTGGACACTCTGGAGCTTGCTCTGGTTCTGGGCCCGCTGGTGGCGGTGGCCCTCCTGACTTTGGAAACCGAACTGGTTCCTGCAAGGCTCGTTCCCTTGCTCGCCGTTGGATCCTTTCCGTCTCTGCTGCGAGTGCAGAGAGTCTCTCCAGCTGCCTTCGCCTGCGTTGCTCAGCAGACACTTGCTGCTCTTGCAGCTCCAAGGCGATGTGCCCAGACGAAAGTGTTCTCGGCTCCCTTCTCGGTGTAGGTGGTGCCTCTTGGTACACCATTGTAGTTTCGGGGCTAGAGGAACTAGGACTCCCGATCTCCACTGGCCCGTCTGGTTCTCCCCCTTCCAAGGGAATGTAATCTCTTCCTTCCACCACTGGTCGTTCGGGCTTCTTCTTCGGCTTTGGAGGCATATACCTTGGTGCACTTCCACTTCCTTCAGCTGAACTGCTTGCTGAAGATCCGTAGCCTTTTCCCATGCCAACACGGTGAATCTTGATCTCCTTTCTTCGTGGCTCCATTTCTTCTTCTTGTTCCCCTTCTTCCATGGGCTCTGCGGGTTCCATCGGCTCCATGGGTTCTGTGAGTTCCATTGGCTCCATGGGTTCTGTGAGTTCCATGGGCTCTGTAGGTTCTGTGAGCTCCATTGGCTCCACAGCATCAGGGTTCCAACCCAAACCATCATCACGGCCACGAGGCATGGCTTCGGTCCCGGATGCACAGTGTGCTCCGCTACCATGCTAAACTTCAAGTCGCTCTTTTTCCTTGAACCAGTAAAGGCGCTGTCGGTAAAACATGAGTCACAAATCCACACATGCTCATCAACCCTTTGGGTTGGTAGGTGGGGTTCCCAGGTAGTAGAAAAACTTTACAGAAACACTAGAGGAGCTGGATGCTTGCATGCCCGCCCACGCTGCTTTGATTTGGGCAATCTGCAACCGGGACAAAACCTGACCTGGGAAGATCTCGGGGATGGCTCCCTCAACTTCTGCCTGGGTTTCAACGACATGTTTGAAAGCCGAGGCTGTCCAGCCCCCTTCCGTGGCCACTTTGATGACCTCTGCTGCTAGGCCTTCCTTCGCCAGTGCACTCTCCAACTCAGAGTCGGCCATGTCAGGCAAAGATAACGCAGGGCTAATGTTGGTACTCAGCGCTAGAACAAATCTTGATACCTGGATAGGATGAGTGAGCTTTGTTCTCGTGAGCTAGATCACCATGCTAAGCAACATGTCTAAAATATACATGGCTTCCAGAGCTTCGCCTTACCAGAACGTGAAACCCTTGCAAGACGCAACGAATCAAAAGATCTTTCCCTTTGGGATTTGCTAGACCAATCGGGTGCCTGCCTGCAGATCCACCAAGAATCATGTCAAGATCATATCAGCAATCTAACCCTTGGTGAACATGTGCAACATGACAGCCTGCTGGGACACTGATGCATATGCAGAACAACAAACACACTTTTCTGAAACGGACATTGAAACTCACTCCTCTGAGAAGCTAGATAAAGCTGCCAAGCATGCACCGCGCCTGCACAACCGACACGAAGATGGCACTGATGTGTGGATCATGAGCCGATCGGCCGGAAGGGTGGCACCACACTTTGCACGCATATATGTGCCATTGACAAGTGTGCCTGATAAAGCATCTGCAGGGCAGAGCACGTGCAACACCGCGGTGCAGGAGCCCAGCAAGAATTCATCGGGCTCGCCTAAGTTGTGCTCCTCGGCTGGGGGTGCCGAAGGTTCCTCCTCGCTCTCATCTGAAGATCCTGGATCAGAGTGATACACGAGACCTTTGTCCAGCGCCTCTGTGTCTGGATCAGGAGTGACTACTTGATTTTCTGCGACCTCCCAACTCCCATTACTGCTCTGAAGTAAATCATCACTGCCATCAAGTTGAAACGAGAACCACTGGAAGGGTTCAAACTCGTAGTCCTTAGAGAAAGCTTCCGGCGGGACATACGCTGGCGTCAAGGGCTGCTGCCCCCCTCTGTGCTGGGGGACCAAAAATCGGAAGCCTGTGCGAATGCTAGCACGAATGCAAGTTTGGCACCGAAGCATGCCATGAACATCGTCACGGGAATAAAGAGCGGAGCTGCTTATGCGGTGGTGCCCTTGACGTTTCCTATCAACCTCATCAACATTGACTTGAAGGGACATGGAAAGCATGGTGGCTTTGAGACTATGCACCGTGAAATTGAGGGGCGGTACCTCTGGTGGTGAGGACGCCCAAGGCATGAGGAGAAAATGCCGCATCCACCTCAACGCCTCAGCATAGCTCATAGCTTGCAGGGGGAACATGAAACTTTCGCCTTGCACTGCTGGAAGTAAGAACGATGGAAGCCACGAATCTGTGTGGTTTCGAACATGCATTGTAACAAGCCTGTCAAGGGCATGCAGGTATTTGCTGACCCAAGAATGCGTTCCGCGAGAAAGAATGCCTGACGCAAGGATGCCCCAGGGCTGCCCGGTGTGACAAGTTTTTGTCGCATAACACGTACCACGAAGGACATGCAAATCAAAAGATAATGAACTCCACTCCACACGTTGAAGATCAGCAAAACGTAATGAACCCCAGGCAGCAACTAAAAAACCGCCAAGAACGACCACTTCAATAAGTGATGCCTGCTTCATCAAGATGCGCCTTTCCCACAGCTGAAGCACCCAAGTGGGGAGTGGGAAGCTCTCCCTGCGTTCACGAGGAATTTTTGACTTCAGAAAAGAATCAATCACTTTTTCATACGCGCACGATAAGATTGTACATTCTGCGACCTTGCATAGCCAACGAAGTGCTTTGATTGTCATGCAACAGCTTGAACCCAGGGTAGGGTCTCCATGCTTTTCAAGGGACATGGTGACTAGTACGTCTGCCATCATAACACTGTCAAGATTGCCAAAACCGAAGCCTAAACCTTCAAGGTTCGCCACAAAATGTGACCAAGCTGCCAGGTAACGCAGCACTGTGTTCGTGGCATACCCTGAAAGAATCCGCGAGGTGTGCTGACTGGCAAATTCGGAGCACTGGATCTGCTTGAACAACCCACTACAATCACCCATAAAAACGAGGACGCCCCAGAATAATGACAAAGCCATCTGGGAGAAACCAGCAATCTGCTGGAACTTGGGATGGTGGGCATCGGCTGTCTTTGCGGCTTTTCTTTTCGAAACAGCTTTCAACAGGAGAGATGAACTGCTTTGCTGCTGTTGATTGGACTCTAAAGAAGACTGGCGAAACCTGGCGAAGTGCATGGCTGATTCATCTTCAGCATCAGAATCACATTCACTCCTGCCTGACATTGCAGCAGGAACTGGCAGTGGCTGCCCGGCATGTGGAACTGGCTCAATGCTGCGTCCCTGTGAGTACACAGGTTGGGCTAGACCTGCCGCTGGCAGAGGGGGAGCGGGCGCTTTAGGTTTGTCTTTTGGCAGCGCGAGCCCCCCCAAGGGCGGTGGACCACACTTACTCTTTGCTTTGCTGAAATGCTTATCATCAGGATCCGTCGGGCGTTTCATACTGCAACCTTTTAGTCTTCGATCAAGCTTTGCCAAAAACCTGGGGGCCTTGGGAAACTGGTCTGAACTGCACGCACAAGAAAGCTGAAGCAACCCTCCAGGTGCAAGAGCCGCACTGACAAGCACCCGATGCTAGGGGTGCTCCTCTGGCCACGCAGATCCCGGCGAACCCTCTGATCTTCCTGCTCAATACGATGCAAGCGCTGCTCCAAAAATGCCGTATAAGATCTAAGATGCTCAATCTGGCTTTGCAACTCGTGGATTTGCAACTGCAGCTGTGCCGGCGAACTGTCAAGTCGGGCACACGACTCTTCCATGCACTCACTTGTGGAGTGTTCCCGCTCCACCCCGGAGCACGGTTCAAAACTGTTAGTGATAAAATGCAAAGCTACAGCAAAATAGTGTATGACGACCAAAACAAACACAACCCACATGCATGCAAAAGTGTGGAAAAAATTTGACTTTCTCGCTAGCAAGCACCACTCTAGAGCCAAAATGACGCACGAACATAGTTTATAAAACATACATGAACAAGTACATGATACGACCCTGTCGGACACGATGTCGGTTCATGACCAACCCCGGAGGGGCGATAGCGAGGAGATCGATCCCCGTACCCCGCCGGTTGCCTGCGTCTTCGCATCCTCTTGGGTTCGGTGACATGTGCCATCCCGTCGACGAAGTCTCGTTTGCAAGAGCCGCACCTGAGAGTGGGAAAGCCTACAAATTCCTGGATGACATAGTGCTGGCATAGTGCTGGAGCTCGAATCTGTACCTCACATCTGTCCTGCGCCCCAGTGCGGAGCACCACATCTTCAGACGGGAGCCCCAGCGAGCATCACCCACGAAGGTTGGTGTCACCTCGGACCCAAAGGTAATGTCGTTCGCGCTGATGGTTTTCCGTTGATGGTGATATGGTCATCCTCCGCGATCTGAAAGGGAGAATTCATGTTGTTGCAGATGTGTTTGTATTCATCGAATCCGAGCTCTTCAGCCTCCGAGCAGAGGAATCAATGTAGCATCCCGGCATAGGACTCTTCCTCTGCCACCTTCTAAGCACACACTCCTTGTAGAGTGGCCCCGCCTCCCGCCCGGCGAGAACCACCTTCCTGGCCTTGTGCACCCTGACTCTCAACTGTTCGTACACGCGGTTGTGCCAGATTGGGGTTCATGTTTTGCGTTCAGACGCATAGGTACCTGTTGGAACGCCAATCAGGAGTTTCCACGGCTTCCATTTCCTTGGAAGAGCGGTAAGGATTCTGGTTGTTGACCGATTCACCTCAAATCCACTACGAAGCAGCTTGATGAGCTGCATGCCAAAGAAGATTTGGTGAAAAGCAAAATGCCCTTTTCCACACACTGAGAGCCTCATATCACGGTCACCTAAATTTTAGGTGACGCTTGAGTAAAACATGGTGAAACACATCATGGGGAACATGTAAAGTTTGTTCACCCCGCCTGAGCAATCTTGGCTCGTTTCGAGGCTCATTGCTCCAACAAACGCACTACTTGTTCTTGAAACACTGAGTACATGCAAAGTAGACTTTCCTAGGCTTGCTGGACTTACGCACGTACTGGCACTCGTAACGATGGAAGGCTTCGCCTCCATCTGGGATGACGATCACGGCGTCACCCTTCTGATGACGTGCAACACTGCTTGCCACACAGCTACTGCTACTGCTCCCCTCATTCACACGGCCTCCCTTTGTCACATGCTCTCGTTGGGCAACCGCCAACTTCGAGCGAAGGCTTTTGAGCTGAAACCATTGGAACATGATCACGCCCACAAGGAACAGCACGCCATATGTCTCGGCACTGAGCATTTGAACATACTCATGCAGCAGTGTTCCACCCATCAAGATGACAGTAACGCACGATGCATTCTCCGAACCATCTGGGCTCAAGGTTCTCCACAAAACCAGTGCACACAACACAAGCAGAACAACTGGCAGCACTGCAACGCTCATAGCATCACTGCACGATGCACCACGACATGCCTCTGCAGCGTTTGGCATCAACAGTGTGAGCAGCGCTACCTTCTTGATCCACCCAGTTGCCACATGCGATCCCACAAACTGGTGTTTGACACGATTCACTTGCTGCTTGAACTCATGCTTGAGCTGCACATCTTCCCATTCCTTCTCGCCAACTGCATCATGGTGCTCATTCACCAATCCATGAAGATAACACAGCGCCAACAATCGTGCAGGACTGAAAGGCTTTGTAAACAGGTCACCCAAGTTGTAGTGTGTGCTCACCGCCTTCACTTGCAAACGGCCTTGACGCACAGCATCTTGAAGCCAAAGAAACCTGCCCTCGATGTGCTTAGCTGCCTTCGAGACGCCTTGCCTCAAAGCAAACTGCCTAGCACTCGCATTGTCAAGCAAAACCACAAGCTGGCATGGTTCTCCAGTCATGAACGTGACGGTGGCCTTCATGAACAAGCCCTGACACGCTGCACTCACTGCCGCGTAGAACTCGGACTCCATACTTGACAGGGAGATGCAACGCTGAGCCCTGCACACATAGTGCAAGTAGCATCCATCCAAACAGTAGGATGCCCCGCCATACGATTTACGATCTTTGCGAGATCCTGC